CAGCATTATCTATTTTTGTAGCCCATTCTTCATATACCATGTCCACTTCATCATCGTTTATGCTCTGTTTGTACAGGTCCCAATTTGCTCCTTTAGTGTTCCATCTTGACATTGGTTTGTTTTCATATGTGACATTCTCCCTGCATTTTATGGATAGAGTTGTTGGCATATGGTCACTGGTTCCTGCTGTTTCGAGTACATTCCATTGGCTTCGTACTGTTATGTCTGGGGTAGCTATGGTTAGGTCTGGGCAGCTTGTGTTTTGTCCTGGCAGTGTGATACGCGTTGGTCGTCCATCATTCAGGAATACCAGATTACCTTCTTCCATTGCCTCTAATAAATTGTTTCCTTTCGTGTTTGCTAGTCCTGATCCCCATGCCTCATGTTGTGCATTCAGGTCACCCATTATGATGCTTGGTGTCTGTATCATTTGAAAAATACTCATGTAGTTTTGTTTTGACATATGTATGTCTGGTGGGCAGTATATTGTGAATATATTTATATTGTTCACTCTGATTCCAGTGATCTGGAACCTATGTGGTAGGTTTGTGGTGATTTGTATTTTCTTGAAGGGTATTGACTTGTTTATCAGACAAGCTATACCTCCGTGACCATCATTTCGATCCTGTCTTATCATGGTGTAGTGTGGGATTCTGTATGGTTGGTGTGGTTGTAAGAAGGTTTCATTCAATAGTATGATTTCTGGTTGTTCTTCATTTATAAGTACTTTTAATTCTTGGTAGTTTATGTTGAGGCTTCTAATATTCCATTGAAGTATTTTCAGTTGTTTTTTGTTTGTTTGGCTATTATTATTAATATGTGTAGTCATCATCAAATTGTTTAGAGCAGCGTGGTGTTTCTGCTATTTCCTCTTGCTGAATGTTATCAATAGAGTCGGTAAACATGTCTTCTGATTCTTGTGTGAGATTTGGCATATACATTGTGTTTGAGGTTTCATCTTCATTAAAGAGCGTGTGGGTGTCTGTGACTTTTTGAATTTCGTTGATTATCCTTTCTTTTGTTCTTTCCTCGAGGCTTGTTTGTTCTAGCATTGTTCTGAAAAATTCTAGGATCCCTACTGCTTCTATCTGTTGGTATGTTTCTGTTTGTTTAGGGGTTAGTAGTTCTAACCTTGTGGTCTGTTGGGGGGTTCTGCAGGGTGGTGGTATCAGCACTTTTTTGTGGGCTTCTTTGTCGTATCCAATGGGGGGGGATGTAGGTTTTCTTTTCCTCATGTTAGCAGCCTGAGAGAAGTTTAGTCTCGGTTTGAATTGATTTGCATGTTCTCTTCTTTGATGGACGTCTATGGTGTTCTGGTTTGCATTTGGTGTTCTGAGTGGGGGAAATTCTTGAATGTTTGATGTATACTGTTGCTGTGGTCCTGTTTCTTTGTTCCTGGGGATCCTTTGTCCTGCTTCGTAGTATGAAATGTTTTCGAATGTCATTAGTTCTTTGATGTCTTTCTGTCTTTTGTATTCTTTGCATTGGCGGTCTGTTGCCTTGTGTTTTTCTTGACAGTATAAGCAGTTTATCTCATCAGCATCACAATCTACTTCTTCATGTTCCGCTGCACATCTGGTGCATCTCTTCTTGCTTCTGCAATGTTTTGTTGTGTGCCCAAATCTTAGGCAATGGAAGCATTGTAGCACTGGGTCTACGTAAATTCGTACTATGGCTTCGTAATAGTTTACTAATATTGATTCTGGTAACCTCTTACCTTTGAAAGTTATTACCACTGTTTCTGTGGGTACATATTCAATGGTTTTATCTTCTTTTACTACTCTCTTACTCATTCTTCTTGCTGCAATGATTGGTCTTGATGCTACTCCTTCATTAATAACTTCTTCCATTGTTGTTCCTGTATCTATACCTCTAGCAATACCCTTTACCGTTACCAATGATGAAGGAATAAATGCTCTCCAATTATTATTGTTTAAAACTGGATTTGCTAGAAAATTATTTGCATTTTGGGGGGTTGTGAAATCTACTCCTAGTCTATTCCTACCTTTACGTGTAATCCTGCGAATACCTATGACAGAATTTCTCTTAAGAATTTTACCTACTGCTGTTGGGTGGATGTTTCCTAAGTTTTTGTCATTACTTTCCACTATGATAGTGTATGGTGGGACATCATGAACATCATATTTATCAACAAGGCTGCGATAAGTGCTACTTTGGGAATCATTGAGGTCAGGGGGTTTTTTCTGGGGACCGCTAGGGCCCCCAGGTCCTTGTGTCATTAGTTTGCTATTTACAGGTTAGGTTTAGGGTTTAGGTTAAAGCAGGGTATAAGCAGGGAAATAATGCGGGCTGATTGTATTATGGATTTACTCACGATGCACCTTCTTGTTTCTTCTAATCGTTGGGAGTGAATTTGGCTTTGATGAATTTTCTCTTCACCGTTTTTAGAAAATTTGGCTTCTTTCACTTGGTTTCCACGTGCGAACCTCCTGAAAATCAAAAGAGCAATCGAGCTAATTTTTCAAATTAAAGCCTAGCCATAGCACCACAATACGGTAAATATTGCCACGGTGGCAAGTCGGGAGCGTAGGTCAGGAGCGTGGTAGTCATTAGAGTAGTGTTCCTTCCTCCTCCGAACGAAAAGACCAGGGTTCGATCCCTACTCCAGCTAATTTTTTTTTTTTCGAAGTAATTAATCGAAAAAATACTATAGAGGTATTTATTGGTTAAGCCGATAGTGATTCGCTATTTCATATTACCTCGCTATAGTGCTATGGCTAAACTCAAGTATTTTTCATTCCTACTAATTATCCTTAATCGAAAAAATTCACTGAGTGACGACATTGTAGTGACGACATAGAGCATGTTCCGATAATACTGCCCAGTATATTTTATCAATCTAATTTTACTGAAATTGACTGGCAACGTTTTTGTGGGTCATTGCAAGGAACCCTGTTAGAGGCTAAAAGTTCACTGTTGTCACTACTGCAGAAATGGTCATGTAGTTCCAGTATTCATGAAAGGTTCATTTTCGACTACCAACTGCCGACTACCAACTACAGAAGGCCCATTGTGAATACCATTACACCTTCGAACATTTGAATGGTTAGGTATGAGTTGATTAAGATTAACATTATTATTTTTGAATAATAATATCATAGATGATATCAGAATATGCATAGTTAGAATAATATTATTCAAAATTCACCAAATAATAAACTACTGCTGATTACTGATGAAAACCATGAAAACGTGTTCCGAAAAACAGCACTGTATTCTCGATTTCATATTTTGGAACCTATATTTTCAGCAGAGCCAGTGGATTTACTGAATACTGACCAGTTGAATTCGAAATATAGCCACAGCTGGGGAGGCGGCAAATATGCTATACACACTACACAATACACAAAACGGCTGTGCTGTAACTTCTGTCATTTGAGATCAGATCATCAATCAGAGCATAGGCAAAGAGGAGGGTGACTAACCTACTATTCTTTGGCATAGGCCTGCTCTTGTAACCATCTCAGCCCGCTCGTTTGTGTTGCTAGATATGCTTAGATCACGTCTAGCAAAAATGCGTGTTTCCCTTTGTGTCGAGCATTCGATTTATGAATGTGTTCATTTGTGTGGAGCGAATTGGTGTAGATCAAATCAAAAAGATCAAGCTGAATACTCGACCAAAAAATGGTCGAGCAAAGAAAAGCAGATCAGTCGGTTACCATAACCTGCAAAAACAGCAAATTGAGTTGACACTACAAAAATATCAGGAGTTTAACCAACATTATTGTTGTTCCAAAAGGTAGTCTAGTGGGTATGGACATGCCATTTTTCAAATTCTCATGATTGATTATCAACCCCAAAAATATTTGAGGCTGAGTGATCAGCTTGCTCTATGCATCGTCAAGGTCGACCGGAACGTAGCCGGAAACAACCCTAACTTTTGACTTTCAAATATGACACCCTGTATATTGTTTTATGTTTGGATTTAGAGGATCATTTTCCTCACACACCAGAGTCGGTTTTTTTGCCAAAGTTGTCTCTATTCAGGGCATAATGTGAATAGAGATAGTGATAGAAAAACATCGAGAAATGTCAAAATGAACAGGCGTGTCCTACTTGAAAATCAAAAGCATATCGAGTTAATACCGAAGTTAAGGTTTGTTAATCTGTGCCGAAGTCACTACTGACGAGTTGAGCCTTGAAATAGGGTCCTTTGATGGAAATTGATGTTAAGATGACAATAAATACGTCAGTTTGAATAAAGGGACCCTACCTTGAAACACCAATGCAGTGATTCGAATTTACCGCCAATGGTCATGTTCCGATATATTTGTTGACATTACTGGCCACCGTAAGCAATCAAGGAACACTTAACAGTAGCAGTAGCTTTGAATTTTCATTTCATCTCGGAATGATTTCGGCAGTACTTGGACACTGGCAGCGAGACATGACCATCGAATTTCGATGTTTTGTTTCGATGATTTTGATTCTCATCATTCTTATTATAATCTTCTTAATTCACGTTGAAATTATGGATGAAGTGAAGTGGAAATAACAAACCAACTTGTACATTAGTGGCAGTTTCAGCGTCTACTGCCTCTGAGATCATCCAGTTCGAATTCATACATGTTCCCAAAGTATTTGAAAATAATTATAATATAATTTTATTCGACTCATACCAAGCGCTTGACCTAACATTTGAATACTGACACTACATCACCATTTCTGCACCAGTGCACCAGTGGCCTACAGTAAACTTTTAGCCTCCAACAAGGTTCCTGGAAATGACCCGCGGAAAACGTTGCCAGTAAATTTCAGGAAAGTCGGAACGACAAAATATACTGGACAGTACTAACTGCACCACTGCGGTAAATTTGAATGCTTGTTCATACGTCACTGTTTTGACATATTGACATTGACAGTATTGACACTGACAAAAGACAATATCATTGTTGAGTATATTTTTGTTTATATTATATATTTATTTAATTGGCACCGCAAGGAGTCAGAAAACCAATAAAGACAACAGAAGAAGAAGAATATTTATTAATTTTATCATCAAATAAAAACAACAGTATTTGTTATTATTTAAAAAGATATTAACAAAATGACCAACAGTTGATATTTTCATTGAAAAGTTTAAATGAGTAAAAACAGAACACCATGTTTTGAGTTCCACTGGCTTCTCCACTGTTTTTTGTGGATTGTGAAATAAAAGTACCTATATATTTTTAAATAATGGCTGATAGGCTCACTCAGCTACAAGACTGTATTAATAAGGTAATCATCAATTATTGTAGATGGTATCTAATAACTTAAAAATATCAATTTTCAGCAAGCTGAACATTTCTGTAACAGTGTTGGTATACTTCAGCAATTTGCTCCTCCCAGCAAATTCCCTAATTTTGATAGGAGCGGATCTCTTACTCCTCAACAACAACAGAGTCAAGAAGATTATGTTCAGTTGTTTACCACTTTGATTGCAAGATGTGCTAAAGATATAGATACTCTCATTGAATCACTGCCTAGTGAAGAAAATTCAACAGAGTTGCAGGTACCTACAGGTGTTTGTTTTTAAATAAGCCAATTTTGATAATTGAATGGGCATAGGCATGAGTAATTATTAAAAAAATTGGCAAACTGTGGGGTAGATTTTGAACTGGTTAAATTAATCATGCCATTTTTTTTACAAATATTATTCTTTGTTTGTCAATTTACAGTTGTTGATATATTCTGAATGATGATATATTTTTATATTTACCTATATAATTATGTACTTCCTTATACCAGAGCCTATTCTGTCTGGAAGTTATTTGTTCAATGAATAAATAAATAAATAAATAGTGATCAGCTAAGGAGTACAAAAACAACAAAAAAATAGAAGGAGAAAACTTGGCATCCCTGTTGATTATATCAATGATGGAAATAAGTATGGTGTACTTATTGACTCTATTCACTATATTCGCTCCTTTTGCGTTCGGGTATTGTTTAGGAACTCCTAGGAGTGCGAATTTTAGCGGTCGGATTCCGTGAATCAGAGTCAATAGATTCGACTCCAAAGCCCCACCTCGAACGGTTCGTGCGCATTCCGAGTTATGCCAAAAATTGATAGGTTGTGACATTTATGCGATCTTTTCGCGCTGACGTTTGAAATGGCGTCCAACAACATTATTTCAAGAAGAACTCATAATACTATTAAAAACGAAACTGGCGACCTCATAACAAGAAAAAATGAAATATTAGTTCAAAATAAATTGAGTGAGTACCTAAAACTTTCCTTGGATGGATAGTAAAATATGGAGCAAAGAAAATATTTTATTCTTTATTGACGTCATGCAAAAATATGACAAAGAATTTTCAGTGGGCATGAGAAAACAGGTATGGCAAAAAGTTGCAAAAGATTGTTGTCATTTGCATAATAAAATAGATGCAAAACAGTGTGAAACTAAATGGAAGTCACTTAAGAGAACTTACAAAAACGTTTTGAACCACAACAATACCTCAGGGCAGAAAAAGCGTTGGTGGGAATTCTTCGATGCCATGAACAGAATAATGTTCAATAAACCCGAAATCATTACAATAGCAACATGCAGTAGTATGTCAGGCTTGAAGATTAATAAAGGTGAGCAAAAAATTATCTTATATTGTCTCTATATATTATATATATTTTATTTCTAATAAATTCTCAATATATTCAGAGGGAGATTTAGTATAATTGTTTCTGTTTTGATACTATTGGATGCTATTGGTATAGTCTTTGCAAAGTATCACTTCACAAATTCAGCAATAGACATCGCCGCGCCGTTTGAAATTTTCAAATGGACCGGCAGGCGCGGCGGATCACTTGATCAATTTCTCTCAACTGACTCTGAAAAGACTATATCAGTTGTTGTTTACCAATATTTATTTCGGATAAGTAGTTATATTCTGTTTATCAATTATTATTTACAGATCATCCTGAGAAATCAAATTCAGGGGGCAGAACAGATGAAAAAAAAGATGATCTTGAAGAAGGAAGAAGTGACAGTTCATTTGCTAAAAAAAGAAAATTAAAATCTAATGATGCTGAACGTAGGCACAAAGAAAAAATGGAGCGATTGGATAAATTCAATAACCTTTTTGAGAAAATGGTAGAAAAATTGTAACATTTTTGTTAGACTCGCCAAATTGTTCTCGTTATTAATATCTGGCCCTGGTAGGTAGTTATAAGACACAATAATTAGAAAAAAAAGTGATGTGTTACTTATTTACTTCTTAGTTTTGTAATTCCATATAAGTAATTAATGTTTTTGATGAGTTATTCATGAAATACTGAAATCAAGTATGTGACTTATATATTTCTGATTGATTCAATAAAATTGGTTTAGATATTCCCGTACCTATACCAAGTTAATAATAAAACACTAGGTGTTCCTATAAGTTCATAATATGTTTATAGTCTAATTATTATTGGGAGATCATTTGCAATATTATTCCTTTTTACAATGGCATCATCCAAAATATAATTATCATTCAAGTCAACATTTGGATTATTTTCTCTTTCTATCAGTATTTCTTCTTGAATATTGACTATATTGTGGGCTTGATCACCTCGCAAAATACATATGTTGTGAAATATACAAGATGTAACAATCAGTAAAGATGCTAAGTCTAGCCTAATAGTTTCCAGACATATGTCAGAGTCATGTCAGAGTGCGGTAATTCAGGAACTCGGGGTACAGAACAACCCTGCGCTCTGGGATTCACTCCATATATCACGTGACGAAGATTCACTCTCGTTCCAAACTCGCCCCACTCCCAACTCCGATGTGCAAGCCGAACTCACCTACTGATGCACTGTTGTTTCAGAAATTCTTCTCCACCTCTTGAGAGTCCTGAGAACAATGTTTTCAGTGGTTTTCTGATAGATGGCACATTGCACAATTATGACATCTATCAATTTTTAAATTGCTGCAGATTTTTCAAATTCAAAGTAAAATAATCCCACTGTTACATCATACCTAAAATGTCATTTGCCATTTTATTTCCACTCCTCACAGCCACAATAGCAGCATCACTATCTAGTGGAAAAATGTAGAATCACCATCTGCTTCATGTGATGTAGAGAAATGTGGTTTCTCTTAAATTTTCAATATGTAAAAATGGCAGAGTACATGCACCATCTACATATTTCCATCATTATTTTATCATAAAAAATAATGGTGGTTAACTAACAAAACAACTATAATTGTAGACATTGGTTAAGGAATAACTGGATATAAAAAATTAACACAAGTAAAACTGGTAAAGGAAATACTATGAAAACATACATAACCTCACCATGATAAGTAGGGGTGTGAGGTCCAGAATTACCTCTAGTGCTGATGTTGGAGTCAATCTCAGTGCTCCTATTATGCAAAGACATGCTAGCCTCTGCACCTTCTCTAATATTTTGTTGTTGTGGTGAATTAGGTTCTGCCCTGTCAAACTACTGCTCCAGGTGATCATAGGTCTCACTATTATAGCCACATCCATCACAGTATTGATGGGTTGTAACCTTGGTTGCAACCCATGCCTTTCTTGCAATATTTCTGCACACCATCAGTGATGATTTTGCCTTGCTGACAATCTTTTCTAAGTGTTGATTCCAGAGAAGTTTTGGTTTGGCTCCTAGGATAAGCCCCAGATACTTCACCTCTTGCTGCCATCCAACGCCTACTCTGTCAAGACAGCCCTCAAGTGCTGTTGTTTTGTTCTTCTGGTGAAAGGTACCACTGTGGTTTTTGATGAGTTAATTCTCAAACCCACCAAGAGGCACCTCCTTCTCCTAGTCCCTAGCCCTCGCCCTAGCCCCCTTTCTATGAGATCACAGAGGGTTCCTTTGAATTCACCCTGGGCCATAATGACTATGTCATCAGCATAACCATGGCAAGTGCCTTCATTTCCTGTCAGTATTATGAGTAGATCATCTACTAGGAGACTCCACATCAAGGGTGATATTTACCCTCCTTGTGGACAGCCCCTACTTGTGCTGATAAAAAAATTGTTTTCACCCACTTTTGTTTCAGCAGTTCTTGTGGTCAGCATTTGGCACATCTGCCTGGATGTGGTTAGGTCAATTCCCTTGTTCATCAGGTCCCTTTTAACAGGAGACTTAGCTCCAAGTTGCCAACCTTAAAACCTCTACTAGAAGCAAAATTATGCAAGTTTGATTACTCAAATAGCTTTATTATGGTGAAATCTGATTGTAAGAGTTTACTCAGCTGTCTAATGAAAGTTATTCAAAAAAAAAAGTTTTGGTGAACTTCAAATCTGACTGGTTGAAAATCTTGTTGGTGCATCTATTGAACGTCAATACTTTTCAATAGTGTCAGGAGTAAAAAATGGTATATCAATGGCTATATTCCAAATACAACTGATCAGTACTGTCAGTAAATCCACTGACTGCTGAAAATCTGTCTTTGGAAATATAAAATCAAAAATACAGTGCTGTATTCAGGTATTCAAGTTATGTCAGCCCCTGAATCTATCAAGGAATCTATCAAGAAATCTATAACTTTATTCAATTTAGACACATGAATAGAAATTATCCACTCATTATCCCTAGAATTCACTTGACATAATTTAATTTAACCCAGAAATTGATCTTCAAACTGCTCCTCATCAGAAGTTTTCTGAGTATCATTATCAAATATAAGACTACTACTGTAATTGCTGTGGGAGCCATTGAACCTGTAGGGGTAAGGGGTGCCATATTCTGTATTATTGCAACAGATTAGGTGATTTGAAATACACACAATAAACAGGTATTGTGTGAAATGTCATTACAATATGTCAAAGGACGACGATCTGCTTCCTACCCAAACTCAGACAAGGATTTCAATACGTCAAATACAACATGCTATCATGGCTCAGGAAGCACGTGTTTTATTTCGATTTTCACCGCTGCCACCATGTTCCATTGGGGGTAGATACTCCTGTATTTCTCACTGTAACTCTCAACGTTTAATCTTGTCCCTTCCGCATAGCTCCCAACTCATTCAAGATATTATAAACCTATAGGCCGCGGGCTTTTCTGCCAGATGACAGTAAATGACAGATGTCAATCCAGCTTGCTGGACAAACAAATGAATCTACAAATGCTTATTGTGCATTTATGTCATATTTTGAAATATTTTTTCTTCATTATGCCTCAATTTTGTGCAATTGTGAAATGTGGAAGTAGAAGCAGCAGAGATAAGGTCTCTTTCCATCGATTCCCTTCGAATTTTGATAATAGGAAACATATTAATCCTCTTGCTGAAAAGGGACGTGAGAGCAAATTTAACTACTGAGAAGTTGAAATGGGCAACAGTATGTTCAAAATATTTCGTATGAAGAATGTTGGGAATCTAGGAAGCATAGTCATCATGAAAATTGAAAATATTTTTTCATTTCAGGCATGTCAAGTGCATTGAATCATTTCCTGTGTATGCACTCTTCTTAAATACAAAATAGTTTATGTCATACATTGAAATTTTAGGAAAGTCCTTCACATCACAGCATCACTACAATCACCAAATTTCAATATATAGGAATCACATCCATTGGTTTCTTTCAGCTCATCTAAATATCTCTTCTGGAGATCCATAGACAATGTACTGAAATAATCACTTTTATTAGCCATCTTGCAAACAGTATTCTTGCAAGCAAGTAGAAAAATTATATCAATATACATTATGTTCCCTTCCTTTAGGTAAAAACCTATAATTCCCTCAGAATTTCAATTATAATATCATTAAATTATCATTGTTGTTTATGGAAATATGGTTTGTTTGTCCAGCAAGCTGATTGACAGCAAAGGACAGCTGTCATGTGACGTCACCTGCCCTCGCCCTATAGTATATAATGTGATACAAAATATCACATCACAGTCAAGGACCCAGAACAAGAAGGCGCCAATCATAAAACAAGATGATCACCTAACTCTCTGACATGGAACATACAATATAAGGTTCACTGTCATATGTCAATTTAGTAACTAAATACCCTGAATAACAGTGTTGTCAAATCCTCATAGGATTTGACATCACATATGCTGACAGTACACTATGTAAGCTACAAAAATATTAATTGAGTGTTTTCTTTTCCCTATTGTTATTTTTTTACTAGGCAAATGCTCATTATAACATAGATATGTTAAGTATTTCTTTTTATGATATCGACTGTGATTTCTTCGTTTCCACACAGTTATGGCTTCATCCACTCAAAGACACTTCTTTGGGTTTTTTTCATTTTAGGATAAGGTTGAAACTTCATCATTTTATTCTTACAAAGTCATGCCTGGATCGATTTTCAGCTCTCAAATGAAATTTATTCCTACTTCCTACTGGAAGGATCAAACTTCTTTACCGAAGAATGATAAATAATAGTGTTGTCCATAAATAAAATAATCTAAAATGTGTAACAAAAATGTGGCAAGTCATAAAATGGACGACATGACATATTTCAGAATGAAAGCAGGTGCATCAACATAATTTTCAACTAATCAGAACTGGAGTCACAAAAATTAATTTTTATTCTCAATAACTTCTATTAGTGAGCTGAGTAGACTGCTACAATCATATTTCATCAAAAGAAAGCTATTTGACTAATAAAAATTCCAAAATGTTGCTTCTACATTGGTAGAGGTTTTAAGAGTCCATTTCACTTATACTGCTAGGGGATCATCTGAGGAATGAGGTGCGAGAGGGTGACGGCGGTAGGCGGAGACATCACAACCCCTTCCACGGCGAATTCGCAAGCATGTATTCAGGTGGTAATTTGGCCCCTTGGCCACTGCCACTAACATTTCATCATTTTCATTTTACTCATCTTATCTATTTTTAGAACAGTTTGGCGCGCGGTGGTCAGTACGGTTATAAAATTGAAAGTATAGGGCATTTTAGGGTGAAATGAAACGCTATTTATATTCATTTGGATATTGGATACAATTATTGTATTATTCCAAAAACTCAGCCATTCATTAGAATATAATTTATAGCTGACCCGGCAAACGCTGTTTTGCTATACACTGTGTCCCAGATTGGTGCTGCATGTATTCCTATCGGTTATTATAAGAGCAACACAGTCGTTCGAATGAGCAATGTTTCTCAGAATTCTATCACTATTTCAGAATTGCCATAAGATTGTTTCGATCGTTTTTTGTTTTTGAAATAATTGCGAAAAACCAAAATAACGAAATAACAAAAAACTTACGGCATTCTGGTTTAGACATTTCATGAGCACTTTTTCAAGAACTTTTGAATAAGAGATAGAACAATGAAATATCTTCCTACGTTTTCGAGAAAATTACAATAACTTTGTTTTTTCTTATGGAAATGTTCAGATCGTTTATTTCTGTATTTGTTCAGAAGAATCTGATATGTTGTGATACATTTTTGAAAAAAGGATTGAAATTTCTATTTAATGCAATAAAAATCCAATATGGCGCCCATATCGATGCCGTAAGTTTTATACAGGGGATTGTCAAAAACGCACCATATTGGAATTTCTCGATTATTTCACAACCAAAAAATGATCGAAAAAATTCGATGGCAGTTCTGAAATGGTTATAGAATTCTGAGAAACATTGTCCATCTGAAGGACTTTGCAGCTCTTATAATAACCGAGATAGCAATAAGTATGTACATGCAGCACCAATCTGGGACACAGTGTATACATTATTTCTAGAAAATATTTTTTTAGTTGAATATCCATTAACACACTAGGTATTATTTTATTTTCTACTTCTGTTTAGTTTGACTATCTATCAAAGCGTGTTCCTTCAGTTTTTCAAAATATTAGTTATTTTCTACTCCTTTTTAGTTCGCTCAAATTTCCCATAACGTTGACGAAATAAAATAAATCATAAACCTCCAAAAGTTCCAAAAAATCCAACACATACCTCCTCTCCCTATCCTCCCTAGGTACGCACGATGTTCCACGAACATTATAGGAATTTCCTTTCGTGCGCTCCAAGAGATAAAAAAAATCGCTGATCCCGAAAACCACAGGTCAAACCTTTGAATAGAATAGGATAATGATCACATAACTCGTCCGCCATATTGGTTCCGTCTGTCCGCCATTTTGAACTGATATCTGAGGGTTTTCGGGGTCGGAGATTATGATTCTTTCGTCAAAATTTGGATCCAATATGGCGGACGAGTTTTGTTATTATGAGCCGATTCTATTCAAAATTTGTATCTGATGGATGTTTTCGGGGTCGAAGATCATGATTCATTTGTCAAAATTAGAAAACTCAACTTTTGTAATTATGATCCGATTTTATTCAAAATCTTTATCTGTAGATTTTTGTTTTCAAAGGTTATGATCCTTTCGTCAAAATTTGGGAATTCAAGCTAACTAAAAAGGAGTAGAAAATGAATAGTAGTTTAAAAAACTGCTGAAACACGCTTTTATCATGATACGATATATTAAACATTTTCAGTCATACTGAGGAAGGCAAGTCATTTGCCGAAATATGTTTTAGGTTTGTACTAAATATTGATGTGGTATTTTGATGTTTTCGGGGTCGAAGATTATGATTCATTTGTCAAAAATACCTTCTTTTACTCATCGATTGGCTAGATGTTGCCGGTTCAACAATCACGTTGTCGATTATATCTTCGTAATCCTTGCTATTCGAAGGACTGATAAAGGAAAGTAAATTTTTAATTTTATTTGAAGAATGTTATTTTACATTATAAAGCTGAAAACTAAAATAACAATAGAAGGTGGATATAAAATGGATGAATTTTATTGGCTTTTCTATTGGCGAAATAGTAACTCATCAATTCAACAAAAAAAAATCCAAAATACCACATCAATATTTAGTAAAGCCTAAAACATATTCCGGCAACTAAGTTGCCATCCTCAGTATAACTGGAAGCGTTTAATATATCGTATCATAATAAAAGCGTGTTTCTGCAGTTTTTCAAACTACTATTTATTTTCTATCTCAACAAGTTGTTTTGTTTTCTCTGTCGGTCAGATAATTTTATCATTATTATTATTATCGTAAATGACATTTCTGTCCCATTCTACTTTCCATCTTAACTTATCACAATTGTCCACTTATCTATAATCACGAATTGTACACAACTATCTAGTCTGTCTCTTAGTGATATTTGGTAACCATGGAATAATGGATGAAGGAATTTATACCTGGATACAGATTAGGAGCGTTCGACCCTGTCTATTCAATGACGGCGTCATTGTGGAAGCTGCAGGGCTTTTTCATTTCGCATAGATTCAAAAGCATCCATCGCCCAATTTCAATGATTTTGGTATCAAATGAGAGATAAAAGTCCAATCTACGTAGGTGCTGTAAGGCTCTTTTGAAATTTCCTACCCAAATTTCAAAAATCGGCCTCGAAGTAGCTTGATTTTAGTGGAATGTTTCGAATCATAATGGAAAAGATTTGAGGAAATTCAAAATTCCATTACAGGACGTACGTAGATTTAGGTGTTATTTAATGGCCTGTACTTGTTTCAAATTGATATGTTCAACCGATTTCGAGAAATTTCGAATTTGCGTGACCGTGTTATAAGTATAAATGCCACTGCGGTGATGGACTCTTAAGGTTGGAAGTAACTCGGTTCTGATATAATTATCTATGGTCTTCTCCACTGTCTTCAGTAAAAAGGATGAGACAAATTGGTCCGAACGATTTCGGGAGGGTTGGGTCCTTCTTCCCTATTTGTATCCAATGATGTCAACTGATTCTGAGTGGGAAATATTTCTTGACATCACCACTCATGTCAGGATACGTATTGACTCATTCACTATTTGAATCAATATCATGATTCAAATGGTAAAGTATTCTAGGAACGTGTTTGATGTGAGAAGATTGACTTGTATTGAAGAGCTTCAGTTTCATGTACATTTTTACAGCATGATATATTTTCTGCATTAGCTATTATTTATCTTGAAAAAAATTTCTGAAATGACTTAGAATTAGTTTTTCTGAATAAATTGAAATTTGTAGCTAGCAAGTTTGAGGAATCTAGAACAAGAAAATCAAGAAGCAGCTGATCGTTTAGAAGCTGTGGTACGAAACGGACAAGAGCTCCTAGAAAAAATACAAGCTGCCCTTAGTGATATTGCCCAAGCCCAGTTGGATATGCAACATCTTACCAAAGTTGCAACTGGTGGAAAGGAATAAACTCAAATCTACATATACGTACCGCTCATTCCATTTCATTCATTAATGTTTGTATTGCAGTATTTGTTTTCCAATAAATGAATTACTCATGTTCATTTACTGACTTTTTATTCGTAATTCATGATAGTCAGAGAATCGCCCGACGAAAACTGTCGATTGGACCTGTATTTTCCGGGTCAATGCATGTTCCAGTGCAAATTTTACTCATCATTTTGAAGTACTTATCCAAACTAGTTCAGTCACAAACCGTTGTTTGCTTTAAGCTTGTTTTCCAATAAATGAATTACTCATGTTCATTTACTGACTTTTTATTCGTAATTCATGATAGTCAGAGAATCGCCCGACGAAAACTGTCGATTGGACCTGTATTTTCCTGTTCAATGGACATGTTCCAGTGCAAATTTTATTCATCATTTTGAAGTACTTATCCAAACTAGTTCAGTCAAAAACCGTTGTTTGCTTAAAGTTCTGTAATTTGTTTAATGATTATTGAAATTCACCATATTTCCTAACATGAAACGCATAGTTGAGCGTGACGAACTCTACCGTCTATGTCAAGAGTAACCGTTTTTGGAATGATATTAATCATTGAAATGAAGTTTTTGTGATTTATTAAAATGAATGATTTCATCAAATACTATTTATACATGTTATGATCAATATACAATAGGTATGTGCCGTAAACTCGGCTAATATGTACTGGGTGGCTAGAATTAGAGCCCGATCATTGATAAATTTACTGTATTTTTTTCAATATTCAATACAAAACTCAATTTTTGTAAACGAACCATTCGAAAACGAAGATTTTTTGAATACCAGGATAGATTACTTCACTTTTCTTTGACATGAAATTTCATATGTGACATCACGCTCTTCCAGCCCCTTGATTAATATTATAGCTGAAAATTATGCAAGAATTAGGTGATGTTTCATTTGCTCAAAGAACACAGTGTATTATGTGAAGAGTAAAATGTATAAATGTCTCAAAATTAAGATGCTAAAAATAGAGAACTGGTCGGTTGGTATATTTTTCTCTTTAATCATCCGGCAATTCGATTAAAAATACATTAACAATAATTAATCACTAATATTTACAAATAGATATATACAGATATAAAAACGTATAGCATAAAATTTCACAATATTCCTTATTCATTATGAAAAGAATTCACTCCACATTACTGAAGAAACCACCATTGTCACGAATATTTTAACATAAGAGCTACAGTAAAGATCACTTAGCTTAGAGGCAATCAATTAATGATTATAACTGATCTCATCTCTCTCATAGTAGTTGTCTTGTACATATATTTTACAGAATTCCCTGGAAATATAATTTTAAATTTCAAATAGATCTATACGAATAATCTGGATTCATCGAACATACATTCAATAATTTGATGATATATTGAAGTAGTCAAACAACCACATATTATATAGGCCAATAATAAGCTTTGCTAGGGTGTAGTATCCAAGTGAATGTTTCATGAAATCCATTTAAATATTCATTAAAGTAATATGTCAACAACTTTGAAAGTAACCCTGTCAACTGTTTAAGGTGAGATCGAACTATTTTGCTAGATTTATTTCTCGCTTATATAGTTCGGCTCGTGAAAGATGACCGGCGGAAAGAAAATGAGCCCAGAGCACAATACGAATGTTGCGATCACCAACTTACACTGTCTATTTAAAAACGAAATCGCAAGCGCTCGCTAGAGATGGTGGTATCAGTTCAAACGTGCAGTCAGTCATACCGTTCGTGATTTGATGAAAGCGACGTAATCTGCAAGACCGAATTATTTAGATAGGTACTCTAAGCACAGCGTACTGAACATCTTCATTCTCTCCCTTTCGTCCCCGGTCTTCTTTGGCGAGTCGAACTATACAATTCAGACGTTCAAAATTACTGGAAATATTCTATATAACCTACATAAACCAAGTATCTATACTCGCGAAGGTATTTGAACGTGAAATTGTTTTGAAATCAAAGATACGAATACCTTTTAATGCAATCGTACGCGAAGGAAGAATTTTATTATTTATTTATTTATTTATTTATTTCAACAAACAGGTTTTACCCCAATTACATGTTGTGTGTGTATGAATGGTTGATTGAAATAGTACTTCATTTTCTGCATCAATCACAGTAATGATACTGTTTTTCCAAAAAATACAGTACTAGTCTAAACAACCTGACTAAAATCTAACTAAAATCTAATAATATATACAAAATATTAACCAGATAAGAATAATTACTGAATTAGTACAGTTTCACTATTTTGTGATAATTTATTTTTTATTTGATTTCTGAATGCGATTACACTATCTCGAAATATGTCACAGTACGTTTGATTTTCGTTATAGAATATAGCCATATTTACATGTGGAGATTTCAGTTGGTAATTCGTCCGAGATGTAGTCACTGCAAATGTTTTGTTATTACTTGCCCGAGTTCTTGAGTTTGGAATTTGTAACTTTACAGATGGAAGAGTAGTACAGTCTTGCGCCATATTGTTGTATATTTTGTATAGATACATCAGGGTGAAGTACACTCTTCTATTGAATAAGGACATTAAATTATATTTATTGAGATTTGAGGGATAATTTGATATATGGACACTTTGTATAATAAAATCTGCTTGTCTAATGAACTTTTTCTGAACTGTTTTGTCCTACTTTGACATTTCTCAAATGTGACAGTAAAAGTAACAAGCATTATACACATGACATCGCAGAATGATTGAGAATTAAGGTTGAGATGCTTATAACTATGCAGTGTTTCTAAAAGGTCTGTACAAAATCTTAGCACATATTCCTGGGATCAAAATAAGCCGACTTAAAGCAACTTACCTTAGTCCGAAATTGCTCCATTTCCTAGATACGAGTACACTTCATGAAAGTATTTTGAAAAATCCATTTCTGCACTGCTAATTCACTAATCAAATTACAACCATGAAGATCGTGCAGTGATCGAACACTAAAAACCGAGATATCTCGAAAACGGCCTACTTTAGCGGACTTCACAAAAGTTTTTTTTTGCTTAAAAATATTCAGACAAATTTTTCTTCAACAGAAAGAGTCAACAACTACACTGAGATAAAAGTTATGGCCATTCTAAACCATAAGAAGTTCATTGGTGAGCACCTTCGAATGACCACAGTGAAAAGGTGCCCGTATTCGGGTTTCGTACCCCAAAAAACCTACGGCTACCAATTTATGAAGTGGTACGTTATTCACCAAAAACGGAGCCATTTCGGACGGAGGTAAGTTGCTTTAAATCGGCTTACTTTGACCTCACGAATATGTGCTGAGATTTTGTACCAACCTTTTAGGGACAACTCTGTATAACAATTTGATTTTCAATAATTTTCAAATCATTGGACGTTCTTATCATATCCTGCGCTTAAAATTTGCCTATTAGAAACGTTTGAAGAAGAAAAATATAGGTGTATTAAAAAATAGGGAATTTTATTCATCTACGGATATTACAGAAATGAATCTGCTTCCGCTTTTGACATAAAATTTTTGTCACTGGTAGGCAAATTTTAAGCGAAGTGACATTTTGGGGTAAATCACCTCATTTGTCCTTACTACAGGTATATTGAAATAATACTAACATTTTTATTTATAGACGAAAAAAAAAATCCCCAATAATCTAGAGAAATAAACACACCATAGTTATCTGTATCTCAGCCAGGGCAATGAGGGTTCAATTTGCCTCCAGAGACGCGAGGTTTACTTTGGTCTCTTCATACAACATGATTGTGTTGGGATATTAGCGTGAACTGGTGTGAATAAATTCTAAGGTGAGTACCAGTTACCATATCTGCCTATTATAATTTTCAATATTGGTCTATTTCAATAGTTGATACATTCTTTGTTCTGGTTCTTCAAAGAGAAAATTCATCAGATTTCATGCTTTAAATAGGTTCATGTCATGAAAGAAGTGAAGCTTATTAGAATCGGCTACAAAAAAGATTTCTTGCTTCTATTTCAAATTGAAATTTGAATGAAAATGTTGAGCACAGTATTTATTCGACCACAGAACAATGATGGAAATAGATTCATCCCTCACAGAACCAAGGTTTTGAATGATTTTCCGATTATGGCGCCTCTATCGCATATACCTGAACCCCACGTCCAAAACTCGCTTGCAATTGTTCCATATCGAGAGTTAGTCTGACGAAACAATGCAAGAGTGAGCCCACCAGTTAAAATTCAATACATCTCTCTTCGCAGAGTTATCCCCACCATTCACCATTTCATTCATTCATCCGTGTTTGGCGTTTAGGATTGTTGGCATATACTTTTTCGTAATTTATGAAAGAAACTCGGTGTCTATCTCTTGTTAGTCTACTATACCAATAAAACCACTTTCAGTCGTAAAATATTGCAACTCGCATTTCACAATATTATACAGTATGATGCAAATGTATGGAATAAATTCATTATTTCAGAAATGGACGACTTTTGAAAAAATTTCAAAAACAAGTGTTTTAATTTTTGAAGCCTCATCTCATGATATTCATATGAGAGATGTTACGTCACCGATGTTGGAGTAATGACGTAATGGACGATTTCTTCAAATACAAACAGGGGTCATGTGACACCTCGTTTGAAAGGTCTACTGATCGTCTATCCAACAGTCGAAATTTTGCATAAGAAGATTGAAATTGAAATGGATTATCATTTGCTTAACAGAATCTTGCAGAGGTCTGCTACTGAGAATTGAACATCGAAGGGTCGTCTAGTTGGAAAAATACATCAATTAAAAAAATTCTGAACTCTAGTTCTTGGATTTCTTTCGGAAGTCGTCTTGTTTTGAAATGAATTTATTCCATACATTTGCATTATACTGTACATATATATACTCATAGTTAGCAGGCTTAAGAAGACAGCGTCCTATACTGTGTAAAGCGCGATTCTTTCGAATTTCCCTACAATCTTAGGCCACTAGATGACGATAACATGATTAGATCGTCATGTATCATCTGATTTCTTCATAAGGAGAACCGGCTGCAAATTTCGACCGTTCACTGATATCGACATGACTTATGTCTCAAAGGCAGGTAAAAACATTTTGTTGTTATTGAACGGCACCTGTATCAATCTCCATCCTGAGCAAAATCATTGAAAAATGGCACAAAATTTCGCAATTTGATAACGAGCTGAGAATTATGACATTCAATACCAACTGAATGGTAGGTCCCAAAACCGTACCTGTGCTGACCCTCTATCTGAGTCAAATCCTTGACACAGCGAGTATTTTGCTGCCGTTATTCCGGACATGCTTCCGTCACGTGATAACGAGTGGAAACAAAATGCAATTAAAAAGGAATAATATTTTCTTCGAAAATATCCCAACGTGCCGTGATTCAAACTGATCTAAATTTATGGCAGAGCATCAATATTTCCCAGAAAATTTCGCCCATCTTCGAAGATAATATCCGATGGACCTTCGGTTCGATATTCTGGTTCATCGGATATCATCTTTCGACAGAGGCGAAATATTCTTGGAAAGTTCTGCCACGAACTCACATCAGTTTAAATCGCCGCACGTTTGGATATTCGCGAAGGGAACATTATTTCCTTCCATTTGTATTTTATTTTGTCTCATTATCGCCTACACTACACTGTTTTACCACTAACCAAACCGATTTTTTATATGCATCGACACGTGTTTCGCTAACTATGTTAAAACTGTATAATCTTCTCCTGAAAATGCTAACATATTTAGCGAAACACGTGTCGAGGGGTAAAAAAATCGGTTTGGTTAAAGGTAAAACAGTGTAGTGTATTATCGTGCCAAAGGTTCCAGTCTTCAACTATGTCCAGAATAACTGAAGCAAAAAAATCATTGTGCCGAGGATTTCACTCAACTTGAGGGGAGGCACAAGTGAGGTTTTGAGATTTACCATTCAGTTGGTATCGGATGGCACAATTCTTACTTCGTAATTATCGCAAAATTTTGTGCAAATTACCACACAGGAAAGTGCCACTATCAATCATTCTGCTCAGGATAGTGATTGGCACAGGTGCCGGTCAATAAAATACAATGATTTTACATGCCTTTGGTTATCCCGTTATCAGTCGAAATTTAGCCGGCCATTGGACTATTCGATATGGGTGACAAACTTGAAGCATTGAGTTGTCCCAATTTCAAGCAGCAAAAAAGCGGCTGATGAGGTCAGGTGGGCCTAAACAGTAGTCTCACTATTGCTAACAATTGGGACAACTCTGTTCATCCTGGATTTCTCAGTTATGAGATCTAGTTCTTTCGAAGTTTTTATAGTTAGAAATAATTTACGAGAACTATATTGAGGAGAATCGTGAAGACAAAAAAAATAATTTTCATAAAACGAAAGATTACGCTGAAATAAATATAATTCTTCAACCTTGGTATCAAAATTATTACCGAACAATTTCCATAACAGAATGTAGAATTGAGGATGAGTCAAGCCCTTATTACATATTAATACCTTCTTATTCAAAACTTATGATTGTTTCTCATTATTTTCACATTTCCAGTATTTTGAATCGTTAAAATATCTAAATAAGCTAGCAAATAGCAAAAACTCACCCTATACATAATATCAACAAGCGTTCATGTTACAGTTACAGGACAAAAACTTTTCTGTTCACGAGGGATACATTATTCAAATTAGCAACTATGCAATATAATATTGTTAAATCCAAATTAAAAAAACGACTGCAATTACACACGATCTTGGATTTATACAATAAACACGTTCGGATATCTTTGAATCGCAAGTTGAATGAGAAAATGTAATCAGTTTGGATAATGATGTATATCTGTGAGACTACTTAATCAATTAATACATCACACAATAACTATATTTGAGATATTGCCAACAATTATCGATACCTTGAATTTTTCCATAATGGTTTGCATTCATCAAGTTCCACAAATATGTCTTAAGTGGTGTGGTATCCATCTAATTGAGGGTGCCTCTACATCCCGTTGCCCCGCATAAACAAGGAATTTTCTCATCTTCAAGTGGAAATTTATAATCATAAGTAATTTCCTCATTAACTCCAATACTTTGTTTTGAATATATCACAATTTTCTTTCGTGATTCAATGGTAATCACTTTGGCATAACAGTTGGGCTGAAAAATCATTGAAATTAAAACTACATTTTTCTTTCCGTTTGAAATATTTATACTCACATTGCAGCTATGGTTGATGAACCTAGCTAAATTGCCACATTTTGTAGCATCGATAATGTTTTCCAGGTCAATTCTGAATAGATATGAACTACCGATACCAGTGGCCTCGTATTTCTGTTCTCGCAGATCTGCTACACTGTGTCTCACCATTTGCCCCACATATTCAATGACCTAAAACAGAGATATTCATATCATTATGGTACGCATTATAGGGATTCCCTTTCGTGTGCTCCAAGCAAAAAAAAAACCATTACGAGATCAAGACTGTGAATAATTATATTGAAACGAGTGGAACCGGATCCGAAAAAAGCAGAAGAAAACTGCAATTGTCAGGTAAATTGGGTAACTCAAAGCGATGGCACTGGTTACTTTGATTGGTTATGTTAGTGGTCAATATTTTTTATTTATTCACAATGGCGGGTGTGTGGTATTTGTTTTCGAAAGTTTGACAATTGTTATTAGAATACTTCAATGTCATATTGTGCATTTGTGCTCAACTAGAACATCTGGAATAATTTCAAATTTCTCGGGTGGACATCAAGAGATAGTTACTATTGACCACCTGCCAGAAGGGTCGAAAGTCTTTCTTCATTCACAATTTTGTACGGGAACGTTTACGTTGATTCGATTGTTTGAAGGAGCATTGTTCATATAACATAAAGAAGATACACGGTAATCCGCAATTGTATAAAAATTAGTTGGCATACCGGGTGGCTACGGAAGTATTGCCTACGGAATATCTCAGTTATTGTATGAAGTAGGTTTGTGAAATTTGGAGCGTCGATATAATGACATAAGAGCTAGAATTTGAGCATATTGACATGTCGCAGTTAACTTCCGGTCTGACCGGAAGTAACAACAACTTTCTTATTTTAAATGGATACCCTATTTTATTTTCTTTTCGCTCTATTCAGCATTCAATTCCCTTTCTAATGACATATCACAAGTTGGTATCTAACCAGAAACTAGATTAGAGAAAAATTATTATTGAAATTCACCGAGTAGGCCGTGGAAGCAAAATGAAAGCCAAAAATTGAAAAGTTGGCTATGGAAACCATACGTCACTCGATAACAGTTGCTACTACTGTGATATTTTATTTTCATTCGTCGGCGTTATAAAAAGCCGCCAAAAAAATTTTGGAAAAATTGGGAAAAAAACAATACTCTGTAGGTCCATAACTTAAATAGGGACATGCAACTTTTTCTTGCCTGTACTATTCAGCATAACCATTCCTTTCTAATGATATATTAGAAAGTCATTTTTTGCCTCTCATTTTGCTTCCACGGCCTACTCGGTGAATTTCAATAATAATTCTTTTCTGATCTAGTTTCTGGTTAGATACCAACTTGTGATATGTCATTAAAAAGGGAATTGAACGCTGAATAAAGCGAAAAGAAAAAAAAAAGGGTTTCCATTTAAAATAAGAAAGTTGATGTTACTTCCGGTCAGACCGGAAGTTAACTGCGGCATGTCAATATGCTCAAATTCTAGCTCTTATGTCATTATATCGACGCTCCAAATTTCACAAACCTACTTCATACAATAACTGAGATATTCCGTAGGCAATACTTCCGTAGCCACCCGGTATATTGAGCTAGGAATTGTCATTATGAATGGGTTCTTCAAACAATAATTTTTTTCTTTTGTCTTTGTAATCACCTCTGATTTTGAGTAAAAGAATAACGAAATAAACAAAATCCAAAAAATGCATTCCTGTAAAAAAATATTCTGAAAAATATTGAACTACAGAGTTTGCCTAGAACTTTCTTGAATCAATGAACAAAGGTTAACAGTGAAACAATTTTCAACCTTGAGATTTATTTGATTGATCGATTGTTTGTTTTTGTTACCCCAAGAAACATATTTGTTTTCGATAATCGAGATCATTTTTTCTACAAACGTCAAAAAATATATTTCCAAAGTAAAAATATGCTTAGCTTGATATAAAAAAAAAAGTGTTGATCTGGCTCAAAAGGTCTCCCCCTATCCTCGCTACGTACGTAAATAATAGGAATTTAGTTTCGTGCGCTCCAAAAGATAAAACAAAGTCATTGTTGAACATTCAGGAATAAATGATTTCGTGGATGTTTGTTCGATTGAGGACCATGAAGTTGAAATATAAATATCTCATATATTTTACACGACGCGTAGCGGAGGGAGACAAAAAACCGTGAGCTAAAATCTAATATTTTTCCCGTTTATAATACACAATTTTTTTCTGTGACAGGAGAAAGGACCAATCAATATTGAGAAGATATTACATTATTTTGAAATCCGAAAATTATCGACATAAAACAGTAGGGAAACCTGCGCTGTAGGCATCTTTATCATTCTTTTGAAGTAATCAAATATCTGATGTCACATCTGTTAGTCTAATTCTGTGATTTGATTTCAGAAAATTGCGCATTTAGTGGTTGTTTAGTAATATACGTAACCGCGAAGTCGAATGGAAGATAAAAGGACTTGCAGTTCTTTCTCGGAGACGGTATTATTGACTCATTTTTCGGAACTATAGCACAACAAAAGCCATCAACAGTGTATATATACCATGTGATATATATCCGGGAAAAAAATAATTTATGTAAAGTGACATTTTATAACCTGCCAACAGTGATGAAATGCCAAACTTTTTTCCCGTCACAGAAAAAATATATTTATATGCAAAGCAATAACGGGATTTCTAACGGGGCATTGCAGACTCAAAGAACACCTAAGGAAGCTAGGCTTACAGGAGGACGGCACCTGCAGATTCTGTGAGGAAGAACCAGAAACACCCCATCACATACTGATGGAGTGTGACGCTGTACATCACAAAAGATTGAACATACTGGGAACACACCAGCTGACTGTGGAAGAAATACCACAGCTAGACCCCCTCAAAATCCTCAAATTCCTGAAGGAATTAAATCTCGAGGGGCTGCTATGAACAAGAAATCCTTGATATAGCAGGAGCAGATGGGGCACAATAGATCTAATTGGGTCGCAGCGCATCTGTCACCATCCAACCTACCAATACCAATACCAATGCAAAGAAATGATCAAAGATGAAATACTATGAATTTCCTTCTTTTTTTTCACTGTTTTTTCCCCATCTTGTTCACTATAATCTGACTGTTGAGATATCTTGATGATATGATTTTGTTCAATATTTGTAATTTCAATTATACAACAGTCGATAATACTTCATGAATGATCTTATCACAGGAATTACTGTCTGAACATTCATGAAATTCCTACTAGAAAATTGATTATACTTTATATATTATTTGTATGTAAATGAAGAAGAGAATGTAATGCAATAACTGAAATAAAAAAAATAAAATGAATAAATAAATGTATTTACTCATCAATTTGGGTCAGAATGGCTGGATAGATCGAAAATATAGAGTAGATGAGTCCAGAAGCAAGTTTGGTAAAACTGATGATTATTGGTTGAGTGTAAGAGCAAAGCTACAGTGCCTCGCAGTGTAGATTTGAACTTCGCCATTTGGATTCAGAACTTATGGTATATATTTTATGGTATATATCTATATATGTATATGAATCGATGTATTACAGCTTTGAATCCAATAAAGACATTTATTATTATTATTATTATCATTTGTAGGGGAAAGGTTGCCTCGATCAGAAAACGTGATGAGGGAGAGTAGTAATTTGTGACATAACCATTTACAATTACATAATAATATACTATTTACATTTTCGTTCACTACTGAATTGGTGAATTTACTTGAATACAACCTTCTTGTGCAAATAATCATCAGTTCTATCAATTTCAATTTTTTGACACGTATTTCTTTCTTTGTAAAGCAAGCAACACTTCCTAATTCACATTATAAACAAATAATTTCTCACAATTAGCCACCTTTTTAGCATTTGACAATTCAGACGTATCGTCTTTAGCGGTTTTTCGGATAAGAATCTTCTTTGTTTACCACTTCCATCGAGACCATTTGGCGATACTCTTTTCAATTTACTAGCTAGACCAGTTATAATTATCACAGTTCATTGTGATGACCCAAACCACAATATGAATGGAACAGAAATAGAAAATTTCAGAAAGCATTCGTAATAGTTCATGAAATAACAAATAATACCTCTTTCAAGTTTTTCTACTTACCATCTCGTCGGCTGCTATTGGCTCCATAGCGAATAGCCCCCAGTCGTGGATAGCGGACTTTGCAAACTTCAACTGCTTTTTCCTAAACTTGAGTTGATTGAATTTGAGCAAATCAGAATCGGTATCACTACCGAAGGCTGTTAGTAATCGTCGCTGGTTTGATCTCGCTTCTCTTGATAAGCCTGGGAACACACATATTATGTTACCTGCATTGAAACTACCGGAAGTAGAAACACGTCAGATGTTGAGGAAAAGTTCGATGATATACTGAATTTTTTTTTAATACATGGTATGTAAACATAAAAGAATGCAATAGAATGTTTTGGACCTATGTGTGTTTATCATCATCTGAGAATTAATTCATTAGTTCCATAATCGAATTTTCTTGGCATAGTTGACCGATTGAAACATGAAATCAATGTATTTTTGGGAAAACTTATACAATATCAATAGTCGTCAGTACGTTACAAAAGAATGAAATTACCAGCTTCAGAAACATTTTTGGAGACAATAAATAAGAAACCAATTTGAAAGAAATAGCTTAAAGGGGATAATGCTTATGTTTGATTGGATAATAACTGGGGTACAGGGCCCCGTTCTAGAATACCTGTTTAACCAATTCAATTTGAAGTAAATTACAAAAAATTGTAACTATGTTTTAAATTTAGAACAATGTTTTTTGCCTTTTTCTTCTCCACAATAATTTCTTTCGGCTGATGATGGACACCTTTTGGGTCCGAAACATGTTCCCGCCTTCATGATTTGAGATTGAACGGTATGGAGACGTTTTGGAGAGTTTTTCACTATATTACCATATTTTTGATCAAGGCGCTCACCTCGTATAGGGTGACCTCCGCCTTGGTGTCAGAGTGCATAGATAGCCTACAAAGGCTGTCAGCACCGAATAAGGTATGTCTTTTGTGGGTCCCTGGACACTCAGGGGTACCAGGTAACGAAATGGCCGATGGTCTGGCCAGAAAGGGGGCGAAAGGTTCAGTGATTGGCCCAGAGCCAATCTTAGGGGTCACTCGATCCTGGAGCAACTCCAAGATGAAGGAAATCCTGACGGAAAAGGTTCAGGACAGCTAGAGAAAGGCTCCTCGAATGAGGCAGTCCAAACTCCATATAGGAAACCCGTCACGAAGACAGACCAATGCCCTCTTGGCTTTGAACAGGAAGGAGCTGAAACTGGTGGTGGGCCTGCTGACAGGGCACTGCCACCTGAACAAACATCTCAGCATGATCGGGATTGTGGAGGATCCAGAATGCAGATGGTGCCTAGAGGATGAAGAGACTTCTACTCACATCCTCACTGAATGCCCGGCAATAGTGGCAGCAAGGGATATCCATTTTGGGAGCAGTATCCTGGACCCAGAGGATGTTAAGAAGATTTGGCCTAGGAAGTTGGTCTCTTTTGCTCGCGAGATCGGCCTTCTCCATGGCTGACTTGCGATCCCAGGAATGTGGGTGCACAATGGGCCCGAAAAGGGAGGCCTAAGTGCGTCAGGTCCCGGACCGCCCACACACATACATACATACCATATTTTGGATTATGAAGTATTTATTCAATCTCACCCACATATTTGACAGGATCAGAAAAGGATGGAATCATGTTGTCAACAGTTCAATACTATGGAAGATCGAGGTTAGTTTATAATACGACTAATTCAATTGTGAGCACTTTGAGCTAGACATCGTAAGTATCAATATGAACTACTTTATATTGTTAATAAATCACCACATAATATCTTACCTTGTTTGGTAGCTGCAGGTACATTGGGCATCGATATAGCATTTGACTTAGCATGATGATATTTATATCTAGATTTTTCATGAGCCGACATTTTATAGTAACCCTCAGTTCTTGCACAGCCCGTCGTATGCAATCTCTCGTCCTTTTTCCTTTTCTTCGGAGGACATGAATATAGATCCGTTAAACAATGATCAACCCAATGGGTGTCATTGAGCCAGTAACCCATCGTGTCATTTGATAACATTTCTTCATAGGTTTTTTTAATATACTCTATATCTTCCCTATCAATGCCTGAAACAAACTTTCAATTATAATTATCTCTAGTACACTGAAAGTACTGCACTACTGTACTGCAAAATAGCAGTTTAATGGTCTTTTTCATTTTCAAATGCGAATTACAAAGATCTGTTTCTGTATGAGCTTTGCAACGACTCACACAAAATTGTCGTAATATTTGTATGTGAATAATTTTTGATCTCTACAAGCGATGTAGATACACTTTTTTTGCCTTGATAATTCATTATTGAGCCAAATGATAGAGCAAATTATTCGTCATGAAACATTACTGAAGATAATATACCGGGTGATTTATGCAGAAGTGTTATTTCACACGAAATTCAACTACATCTCTGAGTGGATCAGCAATTTCTAAAATAATGTTCATCATGTCAATGGATAGTCCTAAATGAGCTTGAAAACATGTTTTTCGAAAATCGTTGTTAGCTGTATTCGTTTTTAAATTATAGCGATTTTTCTAAACACTTGCATTTTGAATGATTTTACGGTTGTTAATTTTTTGAATTATTCAAGTTGGCTTTGAAACAAAAACGCATCGTCTGTAATCTGTCACTCACAATAAACAGCATTCTAATGAAAAGTTTTTTATTTGAATAAAGGGTGATAATGTTATCGTCACAATGCCTAGATATAACGCTCACGAACTCATGCGATCTATTGGTTTGCTGGAAAGTGGCACATCACAAAGAATGGTGGCTGAAAGAGTGCATATTCATCAAAGTGCATTATCAAGGGTGTGGCGCAGATATCAAAACACTTGTTCTGTCCAAAATACTCATGGAGGAGGTGCTGTAAGAAAAACTACTCCTAGGATAGACCGTTACATTGTACGTCAAGCTCTCAACGATAGAACTATTACGTCTACAAAACTTAAAACCCAAAGTCCAGGTAACAAATAATGTAAACATTTCTTCAAAAACCATCCGAAATCGCTTACATGCTGTTGATTTAAATTCACGACGGTCATATAGGCATCCCCAGTTATTAAGAGAACATAGACGATCACGAATGATTTTTGCTGAGGAACACGTTAACTGGGGTATACCCGAATGGTCACAGTGTTTATTTGCTGATGAATCAAGAGTTTCACTCCCCCCCGACGATAATCGAATTTGTGTGTGGCGCAGAACAGGAGAAAGATACGCGGAAAACTGTTCCTTAGATAGAATCCCATTTGGAGGTGGCTCTGTAACAGTGTGGGGAGGAAAATACACAGGTGACCGAACAGAATTAACAGTTTTTGTTAACAGCACGGTAAACGCCGTCCGTTATTTAGTGATGTTGGAGAATAACTTACCGCAGGTAGCCAACAGACTGGGCAACAATTTCATTTATGTAGACGACAATGCAAGACCACATAGGACAGCAACAGTCAACGAGTTTTCCGAAATTCATCATTATAACAGAATGGTTTGGCCCTCCCGCTCTCCGGATTTTAATCCAATCGAACACATATGGGATGCTTTGAAGCGACGTTTGTACGCTCGGGTATTACCTCCCAAAAATATTGACGAATTGGTTGATGCGATTCACGAAGAATGGCGTTTAATTCCTCAGGAACAAATAGACAATGTTATATCCAGTATGATCAGACGATGTCGGGAGGTTATAAGAAATCGTGGAGGACCCACCAGATAATAATACCCGCTAGTAGCTGTACTTATCTTTAAAGTTTTGATATTACTTCTTTCTGTCACGTTAATTCTGCTGTAGTCACTTTTCACTTTTTTACAAAGGTATACAAAAATCACTAACAACGATTTTCGAGCACAATTAGCACCACTATCTTTTGACATGATAAAAATTATTCTATAATCTTCTGTTCAACTCAGAGATGTAGTTGAATTGTGATTAAAAAACACCTTTATGATGATTATCCCCCATCATATGATCAAAATCGCTTGTAGCGATCGGAAATTATTCGGATACAAATATTACTACATTTTTGGGTGAGTCGTTTCAAATTTCCATGAGTGTAGTTGCCGCTATAAACAATAACACATATACATATAGATATGACCATATGACACCAACTGTAAAGGGTGTTCCGAAATGCCAATGTAACTGAGACGCTGAAATATTTCAACTACAACATGCCAAATAATATAGAGGAGGGCATTAAACACACATGAACCTTTGCTCCCAAGATATATACAGGGTGTAACTAAATAGGTAGAAAACATTTGAGGATTCCTCATCGAAAAAAAGATCTTTCATATAAAGAAACTTCATTGGAGCATCCCATCCCACCCCCCAGCTCCTTGAAGGGGGTACATAAAATTTGTTCAACATTTATTTTCACAAATCTAAAACAGAACAACAATACACAAATAGTATTACTTAAAGTTCAAAAATTCACAAACTGACAGCTTGACACCAATTTAATAGTCACTATCGCTAATAGTTTCGTATTTTCGTTTTATGGCGATATGTATGTTGTTCGTAGAATAATTTTTCGCTGCGAACTGGTTCATTTTGGGCAAAAAATTCAAGTGACATTTTTTGTTAAGAATGAAACAGGCTAACGGAAATAGATTTTTAAATGGTGAACAAATAATAAGACAAAAAGTTACATTGGAAATAAAATCTATGGGTTGCGATTTCCACCCCTTACAACCATGGGGTAAACCAAATAAATTACTGGCTAAGTGTCTTTTTGGTAGTAGAAAATGTCAGATTTATTTCAATACTGTAACTTTTCTAGTGCTTGTGAAAAAAATTGGTAATAGTAGATTGTTTTATTAGGATCAAAAGAGACACTTTGTTTGACAAGCGAATTTTGCATTTGCGAGGCGGAGCATTTAGTGAAGCCGAGCGAAAGCAAAATTTGCGAGTCGAACAAAGTCACTTTTGATCCGAATGGAACATGCTATTTTTTCTGCAACCGAAACAATTAACTCAAATAAACATGATTATGAAGTAACCACCAATGCCGTGCAATATGTATGCAATGCAACAAATATTGACAAATAATCCATGTGGTGAGAATATTCTACCTGCATTAACAGCAGGTTAGGTTTTCTAGGATGTTCGAATTGTAGTTTCAATATAAATACAACCACAGAGTGACATATTTGTGTATGGACCAGGTGCTGCTCTAATGGCAAATACCGCGCCAGTGCCAGATATAGGAACAAGACGTGGAAAATGTTAGGTTAGTGAGCATATCAACAATGAAAATAGTGATTATTTATTCCTCTCCATACCACACTGTGTTTGACTTGATAATCAAATGAAGCTAAACAATATCGTTGTTTGAGACAAAAAACTATTGCTTGCCGTGATTATTCAAAAACAAGTTATCCATCCCGAGAATAACGAATGAAATACAGATCAAGCAAGTATTTGAATCTTGAAGGCTTTCCTGATCAAAACAAAAATACTCAACTGAGATGTTTATAATTCCAATACTAAACTATAATAAGGTGTTTTTATATCTCCAGCATGGGTATGAAATGCCAAATCTGCTAAAATCGGAAACAAATCAGGTAAGCGTCTCAACCCAAATAACCAACCGTCACAATGTTGTTCATTCTTGATGACGACCAGTAGATCTTCTTTAGTTCCTAGGAGCTAAAATTCAACTTTAGCTCCTAGGAACTAAATATGTTGCCTAGCAACATACCTATTTTTGTGTCAGTAATAGAAACGTCAATTTAAGAGCTAATTTTGGTATCAAAATGGACGACTTTTGTGTCGGTTGCAGAAAAACAAATTTTATGTACCCCCTTCAAGGGGCTGTATCTTAATATGGGATGCTCCAATGCAGTTTCTTTACGTGAAAGATCCAATCTTTTTTTCAATCTTCAATCACCCCCTCAAATGTTTTACACTTATTTAGTTACTCTGTATACTGGGTGAGTCGGTAGGAACGCACCAAACTCCAGGTGTGTATTGTACAGATATAAATAATTTAAAAAAACCCATATGTTCTTATACGATTCTCATTTGGTTTCATTCTAAATTTGAATAGATGTGTAGCATTTTATAGGAGTTTAATCGTACAAACTCGAAAATAAACGCGTCAAACACACTGACACTGACACGAACACATGTCAGAACAACAAAACAGATGAAACAATCGAGTTTGTACAATTAAAGTCTTATAAAATGATACAAATCTATTCAAATTTAAAATGAAAACAAATGAGAATCGTATCAGAACATATTGGTTTTTTCAAATTATTTTTACGTGTACAATACACACCTGGACTTTGGTGCGTTCCTCCGGACTCACCCTGTACTTACATGATTTTAAACACGAACGCATATATTTGGTTTATTTCTCGAGTCTGGATCCAAATCAATGTGTTACATGATCTAAGGTTACAATTGACAGTATTTGAATCGAACGAAAATCAATTTGACACTTCTGTCATATTGAGTAGGTATGTTCTTTTATACACCACATTTTCATCATTGATGGAAGAGGCGTCACTCTCTGATGCACCGAATTGTTGGAGTAATCAGTGTTGAAAAAAAAACGCAGTTATTTGACATGACAAGCACAACTACTGGTTTTTCCATTATTTATTTTTCTGAAAGTGTTATTGGAGTCCTTGTCTCCAGATCCAGAAGTTCTAGCAGTTCTTCTGATAGTTCCAAGTATGAAATATTGTGTATACAGGGTGTCCGTTTTTCGAGCTCCACCATGGGGATCTCAGTTATTATAAGAGGTACGAGGTCGGTTAAATTAGAGCAAAGTTGCGCATTTTCATACTGAACATTTAATTGCAAGGAAATTTGATGTGTCATTTTTAGTTTCTGAATTATTGGAAGAAAACAAAAATTTATAATTTTTGTTTTTATTTTTTCAAGCGGAAACCAAAAAACCTAGACGTTTCTGACTGGGACATTCTTAAGGCACTTTTTTACAAGGAATCTGAATCTGTCATTGTATTTTCCATGACATTCTTGATGCCAAAGTTACAACACACAACTTTGTTTTTTCTTGTGGGCGCCATATTGAATTTTTGCAATTCTGAAAAGTTTTTTCTTTCTGATTACAATGATGTATCACACGATATGATCGAATCTTTCCTGTTGATCAGAATTGGGAAAAAACCATTTTTGCGAAGAGTGCTTTGGAAAGAACGCCAACATATTTGTTTAACAAGTTGAATTTCGACAGTTTATTTGAATTTGGATCTGGAACGTTCACATTTTAGTCAAGCTCATCTACTTAAAAACTATGGTTTTGAATTAGGAACGACGTAATGAGCTAGAAGTTTATTCTTCGCAAAACACAAAACAAAGTTATAAAAGATGCTCGAATACGTTCAACTTCTAAACACAATTCTAAGCGTTTCCTCAGATTCTGAATTGTTCGCGAGATGTACCGCCATCTTATCATAATCCTGAAAGTGGTGATTATGGTTCTTCTCAGCTCATCAATATCGATCGGTACAGTTTTGAAAATCAAATCTTTCATTGTTTCCAATAAATAATAATCCAGCGGAGAGAGATCAGGTGACCGCGCTGACCAACGTATGTCTACGTTGTTGGAAATTACCATGTCAGAGAACATATCTGACAGACGCTCGGCAGCCCATCTTGCGTTATGTGGATAAGCTTAAGAATTCAACAGTTCTGTTCGCTTATTCAATTGAACTGTCAAAATTCAGTATGTTAAACAAAACTATTGGCGGTCCTTCCAAAGCATTCTTCGCAAAAATGTTTTTTCACAATTTTGATCAACAGGAAAGATTGGATAATATCTTGTGATACATCATTATAATCAGAAAAAAATGCAAAAATCCAAGAAGAAACAAAGTTGGGTTGTAATTTTAGCATCAAGAATGTCATGAAAAATACGATGACAGATTTAGATTCCTTGTCAAAAAGTGTCTTAAACATGTCCAAGTCAGAAACGTCTCGGTCTTTTGGTTTTAGCTTGAAAAAATAATTCAAAAACTGAAAATGACACATTGAATTTTCTTGCAGATACATGTTCAGCATGAAAATGTGCAACTTTGTCCTAATTTAACCGACCTCGTATCTCTTATAATAACTGAGTTCCCCATGGTGCGAAAAACGGGCACCCTGTATTGAGGAGTAGACGAGGTAGGTTGAAAATTCTCATAAACAAAACATTGCAAATTATGATGATATGGATAGTCATCAATGAAAATTCTCTGTTGGTACTCAAGTTTCCTGAATGTCTGCACTAATTTCTTGAGATTCATGATGAGAAAGGTACCTACTACTTGAAATTTCTGTTGGTGTCAATAATGCAGCTATTCTTTAATTTTCATATTCAAGACTGATTTCGATTATCATATATATCATCCATATTTTTTCTTAGGCAAATGACAAACAGCTTTCAAATCCAATATTTAGTTTTAGTGGTTATGCTGTCGCTGTCATTTTGGGAGCCACCAAAATTCGTCCATCTCTGTACATCGGTGGAATGGTTTGCAATTGTGGTTGACACAATAGTAATAAATGAACACGTGGTTACGTCAAACAGCAATCCACCAAAGAATATATGAACACAGTTGGTGGGTTGATGGAGCCACCGGTGAATAAAAGAACGTCCCTAATTTGTTAATAGATAAGTAATTGCATTTTATTTGAAGTTTCGATTGAGTGAGCTTGGAATATGAGGTGTATGAGATCATTAGAGTTTAAGAAGGAAATTGTTATCCAATTCATTGTACCTCCCACGGGAAGTAATTTTTTTTCCCGTGGGAGTGAATTGACAGGTTTGTGACCTTGAATGAGGGAGCAAACGCTTACTTTCGATGCAGTGAGTAGTTAAAAAAATATATCTATATTGTATTACATGTGTGAGGAGACGGACTCTCAACTTAGATGACAGCACATAGCTTGTTGTGCTAGGACCGTGAATACACTCTTCAACTTTATCATTTGGATCCAATTTTTTTGGTGTATTCAAATTGTTTCAACTTTATAGAACGAAAATAATACTGTCAGTGCAGGTCCTAACTTTGGCAACTGACTACATGCTTTGGATTAGCAGGAACAAGACTAGAACTTTGCCTGCCTTAGAAAAGAATTTTTTGCGTTTGCTTTGCAATTAGGATTTGAATGTTTTCTTTGACACTTGTTGCTCTGTTTCTATGCAATAATCTTCTCCGATTCAACAGATTAATTTCTAAACATTATTGAATGATGAATGACAAGAACTCAAGAAATTATACTGTAAAATCACCAATGAAATTGATTCTTCAACAGATTCTGAAAGATCATACTCTATAAAGTTAAAATATGACGGATTTTTGATATGCATGTACCTTAAGTACAGGGTGTTTCAAAAAAGGTGTCCTCGTTTCTAGGGTAGGTAGAACACTGAAAAGTAGACTGGGTTTGCTCAGTAAAAAATGGTCGTAACGGCATCCGTTTTCAAGATACAAGGCGTTGAAACATCAATATTTATACACAATTTTTCTAATTATGTCAAAACTACTGGCAACATTGTATTGAAATTTTGTTTGAATATGTTTTGGAAGATGACACATCGCATGAATACGTTTTTATATATGACTTAGTTTTTTTTAGTCCAAATTTTATGCAAACTTGAAAAAAATTCAAGGTAGGTACTTTTGATAAAACTTGACACTGGGTCACATGTTCCGAATATCATGAAGTGATTACTGTTGCTGGTATGAAGTTATGTATAAAACATGATTAAAATAACAACATATTTCTAATGCTTAAGTTATTGATAAAAGAATGAATCATAAGAATGACAATAAAATAAATTTGATTAAAGACGTGAGCCACACAGTGGTCCTATTTTAAGGAAAAAAATTATGCTACACTACTTTCGACATAATCGTAAAAAATGTGTGAAAAATAGTATATTATTCAACGAGCGCATAATGATGCCTATTACCCACGAAGATGAATGTTTCAGTACGAGCCGAAGGCGAGTGCTGTAATCATCTGAGTAGGTAATAGTCATTATGCGCAAGTAGAATTCTATACTTTATCTACAACTTTTCAAATATCAAAGCAACTTTGAGAGTTCAGAAATATATCTCCAAGGATAAATATGTTATATTGCAGAATCTAATTTAAAATACTTTTCAGTGATCGAAAACTTATTGACAAAAATTTCAAATTTCAATTAACAGCTTATAACGTATTTCAATAATTTCCATTGTGAAAACATGGTAAACAATGTTATAGATAGATCTATTTTTCAACAGGAAAAAAGTCCTGCGAGCGCATCAGTCAATCTTATAAGGTATTATATGCCATCTCAGTATGTGAAATGAATCATATTATAGCAGATTATTCATTTAAGAAAAGAAGTATCTACGTCAAAATTAATAATTGCAGAATAATGAATAATGGCCGCTCCTATCCTATTATCAATGACATTCTATCCTTCTGATTGGTCTGTACTCATCTATTCGAATCGCCCGCACGTAAGTGTGCGCAAGATGAATTATTACGTTCTGCAAACTGCAAATGCCAAATGTCAAGTGTTCAAGTCCTATTTTATGGTTACTCATGGTATCCACTGTTGAGAATGAGAAACAGTGAATTCCCATTTTTCCGTGTATTTGAAGAATGGTAATTAAAACTATGAGGACCATATAAGGTCAGTCTTTTGAATTTGCATGTATTTCACAAACAGGAGTGTTGTGCTGTGTTTTAGTAGAACGAATACCTATCTATTTGAATTAGGCAAGACGATGGGATGTCACATCATTATTCCATCTTACTGTCATTATAACTCTTATCGATTCATCACAATAATATCAGTCATTAACTGTTGAAAATCGAATTAGCAAGGCATGAATGACTCAATAGTTGTAGATAAATATTTTTATTCAACACCTTATAACTTGAATACAGATGCCGTTACATTTTTTAATGAGCAAACCCAACTTATTTTGCAGTGTTGTACCTACCTTAGCAACGGTGCCACCTTTTTTGAAACATCCTGTATATTCAGCTATTTATCAGTCCATCTACTTGTATGATTTCATTTCATAAATAGTTGTGGTATACATATATTGATTTGTTAATCTCTTGCAGCGCACGGAAGGAAATTCCAATAATGTTCAAAGAACATCCTGCGCGGAGGATAGGAAGAGGAGGTAGGTAAAATTTTCTATGGATTCTTTGAAAATGTCAGAAAATGAATAGAAATTACCTTTAGTGAGGAATTCGTAAAGAACGGCAAACTCTGTCATTTGGTCTCGTACTTTATGGAAAATACCACTGTGAATACTGTATGGTATCGAGGAATTCCAATCCCAGTGTTCACCATGGCCCATTTTATTTTGTAACTCTTGCAGTTTCTTGTGTTCTTTTTGTTTCCTAGGTCTGGGCTGTTTAGGGTATTTCTCTTTTTTCGCTGGTTTCTCTTCTTTTGAAGTGTAATGATAATCATTTACCGATTGTAAATTGTGATTATGTTCCAGTACGACCTCCGAATTCTCCTTTTCTGGCTTCTGCATACAATATGAATGTTCATGTTCAACCTTAAAAAGCCATTTTGAACAATATTGAACTGTTAAAATGATTTAACATTCAGAAATAGAAGACTTCCACAAAATTCTTAATCACACGACATGTTTCGCTAACACAGTAGCTTCATCAGATGAAATACTGGTACAATGAAATAAACTTACCTTGGCTTGCCCAACTTAAAAAAAAAAGTTAGACAAGCCAAGGTTAGTTCATTTCAATGTTCCAATATTTCACCTGATGAAGCTACTGTGTTAGTGAAACATGTTCATGCAGTAAAGTAAGCTTCTCAGATGTAGCTTAAAACTTTATAGGGAAATGAAAATGAAACAATAGGTATGGTATACATTTCACTAGATTATTTTGGATTTTCTCTCCTCGTTACTACAAAATAAAAATATGAGTATCATTTCAATATACAGGGTTGGGCAAAAGTATGGAACCAGGTGAATATCCCGGTAACCGTTTGTGAGATTTTTTTCGAATATATGTACAGGGTGATTTCGAAACGTGGTGGATTCGAAAATGTTATCGTCGATGTTGCCACTTTCTCAGTTATTCCGGAATTATTATCAACTTCCTTATTTTAAATAGAACACCCTGTATTTCATTGAATTTTCAGATTCTCCCCGAGAAGCTGATTTCATCGATTCATCACACTTGGGGTCTAGCAAGGATGATTACTGAGATATAGGGTGTTCAAAATCGAGATTTTTCAACTTTAGGATTTTTTTGTGTCGAAACTATTCATTATCGGTCGAAACGGCTTTCATGTCCCTATCTTAACTTTTGATCTACTATCTATTGGTATTTAATGGAAACAGATACAGGGTGATCAGATTTCTGAATCTTGAACCACCCTGTATTTTTTTCAATTAAATGTCGGTAGATAGTGATTCAAAAGTTGACGTAGGGACATGTGAGCCGTTTCAACCAATAATGAATATTTTCGACACAAAAAAATCCTAAAGTTGAAAAATCTCGATTTTGAACACCCTATATCTCAGTAATCATTCGTGCTAGACCCCAAGTGTGATGAATCAATTAAATCAGCTTTTCAGGGAGAATCTGTAAATTCGATGAAATACAGGGTGTTCTATTGAAAATAAGGAAGTTAATAATAATCACAGAATAACTGAAGAAGTGGCAACATCGACGATGCCATTTTCGAATCCACCACGTTTTGAAATCGCCCTGCACATAAATTCAGAGGAATCTAACAAACGGTTACCGAGATATTCACCTGGTTCCATACTTTTGCCCAACCCTGTATGTGTAGTAGGACAAATAAGATAAGCCTAAAAGAAAAATTCAATAGCTTGTCAGTCACACTTGGTTTGGAAAAATGTTTGAAGAGAATAAATATAGATATATTAAAAAATAACGAATTTTTCCTTATCTTTGGACGTTTCGGGAACGAATCTGCTCTCGTTCTCAACATAAAAATGAAAAATATTTTCCTTCGAAAATTCTGTTCTACTTTGACACTTCTCAGTATCATACTGATGTTGGCATATGGAGGAGGGATGATGTTAGTATACAAATGAGTTGGATGTTTTCATTAATTGATCTTGAATCTACCATTTTCATGTTCAGTTTTCAGTAGTGAATACCATGTTCTATCTATATCAACTGAACAGAAGCAATGCTATTGTCTCCGTTCAGAAGAATGCAAGCGGATTCCTTGATTTTTCCCTTTTGGTTGTTATCTTCCTTTCCTATGATAGGATATCAATTAATCAACTTTATTATTCCCAAGAAACAACATTTGTTTATAGTATTGACTCAGCTGTTAGGTACCCAATAGAAAACTATAGTAGTTGTACAAGAAAACTATAAAAATGAGATAAGATGTCAATATTACAGGAGTAGATGTTTCTTGAATTCTCTTTTGAATTTTTCAATCCTATAAATCAGCTTCAAGTTATTTGGTAGAGAATTGTATTGTATCATTCCATTGTGATAGATGGATTTTTTACCAATATCTGATTTAATTTTCTTGACAGAAAAATGATCTGCTTGTCTTGTATGGTTGTGGTGATTACTATTAACTTGGGAAACCAAAATCCAAAGGTTTTGACAATGTTTAACTGAATGAATGAACGACATTAATTTTAATTTATATTGTGAATCTATATCTAATAATTCTCTTCTTCTGTAAATGTTCATAGTAGGTTCCGAATAATTTAGTCTGTATATACATTTGATAATTTTATTTTGAAGAGTTTTGAGAGGCTTTATAATTGAGAAGTGTCAAACTAGAACAGAATTTTCGAAGAAAAATAATTTGCATATTTGTATTGAGAACTGGAGCATATTCTTTCCCGAAACGTCCAAAGATAAGTAGAAATTCTATATTTTTTCAATATATCTATATTTCTTCTCTTCAAACTTTTTTCCTAACAAAGTGTCACTGGCAAGCTATTAGGCTCCCTGATAGAAAAATTTGTTAAACGCATTGACATTTTGGGGCAAATCATCTTATTTGTCCTACTACACATATATTGAAATAATACTCATATTTTTCTTTTGTAGAAACGAGGAGTTAATCCCAAATAATTAAGGAAAATGAATGTTACACCTTTTCAATTAACCTACAGACAGTATGGTATAGTTTATCCAAAGTCAGTTGGAGCGTTTGTCAGTTGTACAATGAATTGATGTTTATCATACAGGGCGTGGAGAAAATTATGAATTGAAAAAACCCAATCTGTGAATGTCTGCCACGTGCACGGACTTCAAACGAACTTCAAAAGAAGCGAAACCGCTTTGCCAACCTATATGTTTGTTCTCGGGTGCTCCAACTGACTTTGAATCGACTATACCAACATTGTGAATAACTTAATGGTCGCTTGAGGTTTGTCAAAAAAAATGTCGATTCAGGAACATTTGATGTTTGTTACACAAGAAGATATCATGACACTGACATTGTTACAAATACAAAATATACCCCCAATATAACAAACCACAATATCATCAAGAAATTTCTAAATATTTATCATTTTCATCTCCTGCACCACAAAAAGCATATTGGTGCACAGTAGGTGCACGTAAAATTTTATGGAAATATCTAGAATAGTATTGAAGTTATGATGAGAAAACAAACTTTTTTTAGAATCTCAACCCCCTATAGCTCGAAAGTTAAGAGGTTTAGGGCAAATGAACTAAGGACCCATATCCTATATTTTGAGCAAACGATTCAATTTCACCCTGTATAATAATTTCCAAATAATGCCAACGATTCAATTCAATCCTTGTGATCCATTGATTTAAAATCCTAACCATCAAAATTTTTCGCCATATTTGAAAGAAGTGCCAAGAATTAGAATGGAAAAACTTTGTATCATCAATATTCCAAATATCTTTCTGAAAGTTTGTTGCGCTCACCTGACTACAAGGACTACTTTCTACTGCAGAACTGTCCGACAACTGCTTCTTCAATATATCGCCATTTGTGTCTGTTGTGCTAGATTTTTTCTTTATGATCTCATCCAATTTTTCCTCATCAGAATCACCCCGACGTTTCTTCAAATTTTCGGGAGATTCAGACATGTATTTGTCAATGATCACTGAGCTAGGAGGCTCTGGATTTCGAACCTGTTGCAGAAGAGCGTCACGTTCGGCTTCCAGCTCTTCCAATGTTTTCTCCATGACATGTTTGTGCTCTCCAATTTTTTCCTCTATTTCAACTGGTTTAGGTATTTCTTCTGAAGAATGTTTTTCTGTAACATCCAAGGTAGACTCTACCTCTGTAGGTTTGGGTTGTCTTTCTTGTCGTTCTTTTTCAATTTGCTCCATGTATTCTGTGTTTAAACGTCTTCTTTCCAAAATTAAACGTTCTGTATCACTCATGTCGCTATCACTGTCGAACAATTCATTAGAAATCTTAATTTTATCTTCGGATATCCTGATAGCTGCCAGATCATCGGGATCAATCTGAAACCAAGAGATGAAATGAAATAAAAGTGACACAAATGTCAAACAAGAAAATACTCGAAAATGTTTCATCAGAGCCCTTTATCTTGATCATGACAATTATTTGAAAATAAACAGTACTGTGTTGCTACCTTCACAATTTACAGGTGTGCAAATTTTATATAATGAGTGTACAATATTAGAGATGTAGCGAAATTACAAGGGTTTTTATTCAATGAAATGTAAAATTGCCAATTTTGACATTAAATGAACTTCCAAAGACTAAATAAGGGGTATCTCAGAAATATTTCCTTATCCTGTTTAGTGCTCGTCAGAAAGCTGAGATTCTTTCCATCACGAGCAATACCAGTTAGGCGAACTAAACAAGGCAAGCTCTTCCAAAACTCATTCTTCAGAGAACGACGAACTGACATAACTATTATCCAGACCGCTATTTGCCATATCTGAGCAACCCAAAAATCTCATCCAAATTGCTCGCCTGAAAACACTTCTGCTCGAATGTTATTATTAAGATATATGACGCTCCATTGAACCAAGTCGATCTCGTAAATGAATGAGGTCTGATATTATGGCATTAGCGGTAAGTTAGTAATTTATGTCAGTGGCAATGCCTGATGTTCCACGAACATGATATAGATTCACATTCGTGCGATCCAAAAGAGCCATGACAACATTTATCACCAGAAGAAACTCCAATGATTGAATTGAATTAATGTTTCTTCTAAGACTATATGCGAGGTACCTATATTTCTTCTTTTGAAGAAACTATTACTTCTCACAAAAAAAACATGTTTGAGTCTAGTGAAACGTTGTCTTGGCCAGAAACATTAGAAAATACTAGTAATTACACTCGGGTTGAATCTACCTAAATTTTGCTATCACCGAGAATACTTAAAATAAATGGTCAACTTGATTAAAGGACAATCTACTTGTTCTTTCTCAGGATTGAGCATATGTGTGGAAACACCCAATTTCTGACTAAACCAGAAATTTTTTCGTTTCTTTCAAGACTCAACATTTTTCTGTTCTACTCAGTGGCCGATGTTGATTTTTGGTAGCTATCATATTGTCCTAAATATGGGGTAGTCAGCCATTTTTTAAAAATGGTTTACCCTGTATCTAAATATTTTCTCGGACTGCTGTTCTTCTAACTTACATTGATGTACAGTTTGGCGTGCCTGTGATTGGTTGTTATAGAAATATCAGATGAAATATCAATCAATAAAATATGTCTGGTATTTGAGTTTTACTCGTTCACTTGTACAAAACTATAAAAAAATCTTCAAACTGTAGACCCTCAGCTGCTTGGCTTGCCAATAACCTAATCGATCAATGAATTCCGTCAAGTAGTTTTGAAAAAAATGTAACTATTTCTCAAGAAGGTTCGCCCTCCAGGAGATTCGTTGATAGGATATGTTATTGGCAAGCAGAAGAAGATTACCTATTAATGAACACTTTTCATTAGTTATCTGACAACTTGACGAATAAAACTCCAATATCAGACATTTTTTATCAATTATTATTTCATCTTATAATTCTACAACAACCAGACAAAGACACGCCAAACTTCATAATAATGTAAGTTGAAAGAACAGGGATCCGAAAAAATATTTACATACAGAGTGATACTTTGAAAAAACTGCCGACTGAGCCCTATTTACAACAATATGATAGCTACTAAAAATCAACATTGGCCACTGAGTGGAACAGAAAAAGTTATATGTCTTGATAGAAAAAAATAAATAAATCACTTCTGGTTCAGTTAGAAATTAGTCGTTTCCACACATATGCTGAGCCGTTACCACCGATAAAACAAGGCCAGCAGACTCTGACGTAAACAGCTCGTGACGTCGCATACTCAGGCCATCTTCCAAGGCATTCGCGTCGATCGATCGTCAGTTTGTTTTTGTTTAAGAACGGTGGCGTAGGTAAATCGCGTGTGCTAGAATTCTCTTGTTGTTTATTCATCAAAATAATTGGCGGAGAAATTACTGTTTTGTGAAATATTTCGTGTTGTGATAGGCGAAATAACAATGCCTTACAAGTGTTGTGTTCCCTTTTGTCGGGGGAATTATGTGGGTGGTCCAAAAGTTCATGCTTTTAGTTTCCCGTTGGACAAGGAACTATCGAAAAAGTGCATCTCATGCAGAAAATGTATTTAAGTTATTAGGTGAGCGTGAAAAATATGTCATTTTAATGATAGAAGTAGTTCATATAAAGCCATATTTAGATTACAAGGCAGGCAATATTGTAGGAACGGCATTTAATAATTCATGTTTAGCAAATTCCGCATTTGTCTTCATGATAGCAAGCATTATGTCAAATGTGAAAGAAGTTGTTCATATAAGTCCAACATCAAAAATAGATCACCTCATGATTTTTTCTTTAATAAAGAGAGTCATAAATAGATTAGAGGAAATTGGTTACAGAATATTCTGTATTATCAGTGACAATAATGCTGTCAACAGTAAAGCTATGAGTAATTTTGCAGAAAAACCAAAACTCAGTATTGTTTATCCTCATCCCGCAGATACATCACGTCCTCTATTTTAGCTTTTTGATTCTGTACATTTGTTGAAATGCATAAGGAATAATTGGCTCAATTCAAAACCAGATCAGAAATTGAATTATCCCGATTTTGAAACAGGGGTTGAAAGAGTTGCTTCTTTTCATAGTTTAAAAACCCTTCACGAATTAGAACATGATAAATTATTAAAATTTGGATATTCGTTGAACCTGAAGGCGCTATTTCCCTCGAATATGGAAAGACAAAACGTCGCTTTGGCTATCAAAATTTTCAATGATTTCATAGTACAGGCTCTTTCAAAATTTGGATCAAACATTGAAAACTCTGAAGGCACTGCTGGATTTATCTACCTGATACTCAAGTGGTGAAAAATTGTGAATGTCAAAACACCCCTCAAGGGCAAACGTTTGAATGATGTGTTTCAAGAACCTATCACAGCTATAAATTTTTGTTCCGATGAAAAATTCATTTTCTTGCATAAAATGATAGATTGGTTAGAAACTTGGAAATCTGCAAATTCTACTAATACTAGGAAAATTTCAAACAGATGATTTGGAACATAGGTTCGGGAAATATCGTCAACTTTCAGGTGGACAATATCACATATCTATTCGACAATTGTATGAATCGGAAAAAAGGCTCAGAATTCAATCACTGCTCACGCTAAAATCTCGTACTTACGGTAATATACAAATCAGGCGCTCCCACGAAAATATTGATTTCACCGAAGAAATCCAAGAAAATCATTCTTTCAATCCAGATATCATAGTCGAGGAATCTGATGTAGATAAATATAGTGATGACATGCCGGTAATAACCTATTTAGCAGGTTATTGTTGCTATATTACACTTAGAAAAATTCAGTGCGAATTTTGTAAACAGAACTCAATCTATAATGATGAATTAATAATAGAAGACAATTACACTCTCATAAAAAGTATGAGTAGAGGAAAATTACTCTATCCGCAATATTTGATTGTGCAGTTAGTTTTGTATTCGTATATTATATTCAACAAAATCATCTCTGAATTCGAGGAAATATTCTTGAATGTTCATAATAAACGGGCATTTTTAACTCAATACATTCTCAAATTTCTTTCTGAAAACGGTCATTTGCCTCGTGGCAATGAATGCAGAATTCATTCCAATGATCAAATTGCAACTATTATATTAACATGTACTACAAACACTCTACTTGAAAATTACTGTTTCAAGTCTAACGACCAATTGGGTAAAAAATCCAACAACAGGAAATTGAAAACACTCACTGGCTAATTTTTTAGGTAATAGGAATTCTCCAAGATAAATATAGGTAATTAGATATAACAAACGGCATACGCGGTCGCCTTATAGCGCTATAAGCGCTTGTCGTTTCGAGCCGCTGGTTAGGCCTGACTAAGTGACGTCACCCACGGAGCATGCAGGCCTTGTTTTATCGGTGGTAACGGCTGAGCCCCGTATATTAATTGAACAAATATAGATTTTCAAAACCAACCTGCATGGGTTCTGGTGTTTTATTCCTAGCTTCAATTCCATCTCTGAGAGGTGAACTGCTTTCCTCCATAGGATCCATAGGATCACTGACGAAAGATTCTAACTTAGTCTCTCGAATTTCAGGACTAATACTCCTATTCATTTGTTTCACTTCAGTTTCCGAATCTGATGAGCTATCATCTGAACTTTCACTTTCACTAGAAGAACTGAACGAACTTGAAGAACTACTTATACTGCTTGCTGATGTTCTACGTTCTCTCCTGGCAGGTTGGCTGATGTCATAATCAGAGTCGTGCACAATCTCTTCATTGTCTGAAGCTTTTCGAGATTCATCTTCATCTTCTGGTACAGGCGACGGAATTTTTTTCCTTCGAAAGCTGGGCATCTTTGGCAGACTTGCCCTCAAACCCAGTCCCAGACCAATTGAAGGCACTGCGTCCACATTCAGATTGCTGTACAGATTCTCACGATTCGATTCAAGTAAAATGTTCATATTGTCACGTGACAGCATGGACTTATCAGTCTGTTCCTCTTTCTCTTTTGATTTATTTTCCTTTGAATTTTCCTCTTCCCACCTGTAATGAGAAGGAATTCAGGTTTGTCACACTATTATTGATTGGGGTTCAAAACAGTCACGAAACGTTACAACATTGAACCAATTCGGATGACAATATGTAGTCAAAATCCCAAATACATTTAGTATGTAAAGTTATGAATGAATTAATTTCTAGCCAAACAGTCAATATACTCGAGTCCTAGCTGGAAACATGATTCAAAAACGAATGTGCATAAAACAACATAGTCTATATTGAGAAATTATTGTCACATATACAGGGTGCATCAACAAAATCCAGAGATTCAGGATAATTGTTTTAATTGAAATGCCATGTATAATAGCACATTTTTCTAGCATTCCATTGACTGTGTCCCAATCACTTGGAAGTTATGATTTTTTATGTTGAAATAAGGTTAGTGCAGATGAATACTAGAAAAATCTCTGATATCATACTTATCAATATCAAGAAGAAATATTATTGAAACTATTTGATAGACGGTTGCGGAATATTTATGATCCACTCTCATGCCTCAGAATTGTACAGAATGGTCCACAAATATTTGTCAAATTCGGAACTTTTCGAATTGAGTTTTCTCTACGAATATGTCCCTATAGCAATTTCCTAACAAATTTTGGAATTATTGAACTTTGCAATATACCGATGTGCCATATTAGCTCAATTTCCAATTATTAATGTAAATTCCAACTTCCTTAATGAACAATCGGAATTATGAAAGCAAATAGAAACAAAAGTTAGCATTTCTACAAAAACTGCAAAATCGAGAAGCTCAAACATGAAAATACAAAACAAACGAACAATAATTAGGGCTCCACATGTCGCCCATTTGTGACTGACACACATGCCTATCCGCCTTTGAAATGAGTCTTCCACTGCCCTTTGACACACTTTCACAAAAGGAAGAAGGAAGTTACGAGACATAATGACACGGAATGAAGTCACACAAAAACTTATACCTACTATTTTTTGGCACATATAAGAATGTATCAGTGAATACACAACATAACATTTTCGAAAATTCCATAAATTGAGAACGGTTATAAATAGCCATATACAGGAATTTACAAGGTGACATTTAAATAAATATAAATATTTCAGACCCTAAGAAAGCTCGACGTATACTATCAAATGGCACTAATAAAAAAAATAGAGATCTAAATAAATTTTGGGGTGAGATCCCTTTTTTTCACGCAAAGTTCTACACTGTAGCAATTCTGACGTTACTTCTGTACAAATTTCCATGCGGATGGCACAATTACGCGGAAATCAATTATTTCAATAGTCTTGAAGTGGCACACTTGATTTTTCTCAATTTTTAATTCAATTTACAAGATGAAATTTCTCGTCAATTAGAATTAGTCAAATTTTGATATTTTGGGAATATTCGGGAATATTCGACGGTATCATATTAGTGTGCTGAATATATGAACTTATTTCAAAAACATCTCGTATATACAAAAAATATTAGCCTCCTGATATCACATGTTCGGGAAAAATCAATTCAAATAGCTCCGAATTGAAACATCCGTTTTATCCACCCTGTAGTGCATGAGAAGTAATCAGAACTATATCATAGATCCGTCGTTCAAATGGCATTATATTATTTCCTCTTAGATTCAATATTGCCCACGAGTGATTTTTTCGGATAAAAAAATTCGCATCCTCTACCAAGGCGAAAGTTGTAACGCCGCAAGGGCTTACAATGACAGTTTCAATAATCGAAAGTCATTTTATTTTACTTGAATGTTTCATGCCGTTTCATTACGTTAAGTTCATTAAGTTTTTAGGTATGCATATAGACAACAAATTGAAATTTGATGAACATATCACGAGCTTAAATAAGAAGATATCCTCTAGTTGCTTCGCAGTTAAAGTTGTTTCAAAGGAACTAAATTCAGCTTCAGCTAGGTTAGTATATTTCTCCTTAATTGAGTCCCACTTGAGGTACGGCATTGCATTCTGGGGATTGTGCAGTGATCATTTGTTCGACTCAGTGTTTGTATTACAAAAAAGAGCAATTCGCTACCTGAGCAAAGCCCAGTACCGTGATCACTGTAAACCATTATTCATCAATCAAAGGATTTTGACTCTATCTTGTTTATTCATACTGGAAACTGTTTGCCTGATGCACAAGAAATATGTCACTTCAACATTACCTATAACTGAAACCAGAAAATATGAGACAAGAAACAAAGGTTGTATTCCTTTACCTATACCCAAATCTAGTCTAACTAGAAACTCTGTCATGTACGAAAGCAAAAAAAATGTATAACCATCTTCCAATAGCTTACAGAAATATACCTTGCCCAAAGAAGTTAAAAAAAAAAGTGAAAGATATACTTTTACAGAGGGCTTACTATAACCTGCAGGAGTATTACAATGACATACTCTAGTTTCTATTGTAATTTCCATTTCTATAATTGTGTTATATTTTAATATATTTTAATCTGTTATGATTTTTAACAATGTGATATCGTGCGAAAAATGTGATTCTGATTCTAATTGTATTATCTATATGAGATAGTTGCAAGTTGACGACTCTCCAAAATTTCATTTTGGTGATATATATATTGTTTTTTTTAACATGTCTCTTATTTTAATTGTATTCGTTTGCATCTGTTATGTTCTATATTATACTATATTATATAATTTACTGAAACATGCTTTATCAATAAGATTGAAATCTTCGACAATAAAGTATATTTTTGATTGATTTGATTTGATACTCAAATTTTGATTTTCACTGCTAGAACCATAGGCTACAACGGTTAACTGTATCCTCAATCAGAGATAGGTAACTTATCTCGGTCTCAATACAGCTGACAACAGAAAGCTGTAAAATGGTTTACCACAGCATACTTCCCAAAAATTATTCTTCAGGAACTGGATAGGACATATATTTTCATAGATAGAAAAATTTAATGATTTCGTAGTAGCCCATCCTCAAGTACCACCACTGAAATCTCCTGTGTGTGGTGATAACAGGAGACGCGAGTAGTGGACATCGGTATCTCACAATGAGAAGATCCATTCGACGTTTTTAAATGTTTTAAGTTAAATAAGTTAGTTGTACTAATCATTTTTAATATAAGTAAATCAGTATAGACACATGTCGATAGTTGTTTTAGTGTGCTGCTACAAATTTTATACGAATAATGGTTTATAATGTTTTCGTTATTCTCAAGATCAGACTGCTAAGATGCAGTTATAATAAATAATAATGATAATAATAAATCGTCTTTATTCATCACAACAAAAAAACATAGTTAGCTACTATACATTAGAAAATATAAAGGTATGTGCGATGAAATGGTGAAGGGTATGCTAGAGCTGTTTTCAAACTTTACCAGAGAGAAACCATGAAGAGTGTAATAATAAATCAAACATAAATATTTTAACAAAAAATCGTGCGGTCTTAGAGCCTAATGAGTTAAATAATTTCGTAATAAACTACTATCCGTTAATGATGCATACCCTCAATAATATGAGATATCTAGTATGAGTAATTAATATTCAATTGAAAGTATTGGTCATTCCAGAAAGGATGAGCGAAAAAATTTCAACGATTATCAGTCCAGTGATTCACGAGCACATCTTTCAATGTCTTTTTGAAGTTGAATATAGAGTAATGGCGGAAAATAGGTTACAGATTATTATACAATTTGCAAGCACGATACGAGAAGCTGCTAGTAAAAAATGCTGTGGAATGTTTGGAAATAATGAAGAAATCTTTTTTCCTTGTAGTAACTCTATTATTTTCCGTAAGCACTAATTTGTTGAGCACGTATTGGGGATTTTTGGTTCTCAACATTTTGTGAACGAGACAAAGAGTATGAAAGTCACGTGTTATGTCCAATAATAGCCAGCCAATCTCATTAATGTGCCTACTTACGCTGTCATACTTGCGCAAACCATTACAAAAACGTACACAAGTATTTTATATGAGTTGTAGTTTCCTTGCGTCAGATGCAAGTAAGGCAGGGCCTTAGACAGAGTCACACTAAGTTTTCTTGGAGAATATCAAAATTTCACGAAGATCAGTTTTAATTTGCTATGGTAGGATAAAGAGTTTTTTGAGATGATGATTAGCTGATTGACAAAAATATTTCATCTCATTCCGAATGAGACAACAGAGCTAAAAAAGGTATTCAAGTGCTTTCTATTTAGTGTATATTAGCGACGTTTATTTCGAATGAACCTACCTAGTTGATATTCTTTCTCAATGAATATTAGTTTCATTCACACTGATCGGTTTTGTTTTACTGTATAAAAAAAAATGACTTTTTATATGTTTTCAATGACACTGACATCGTGATATGGAATTTGTTATAATTTTCTGGAGATGAGACCATTAATTATTTCAGTTCTCAGTGCTCTATTTATTGATTCACAAAATGCACGTCTCTTCTTCAATAAAGCTGAGTTGATTCCAGTTATAGAAGTTCAAAATTTCCGCATTATTCAACTGTGAAATACTGGGATTCGCAACAAAGATGTTGGCCTTTCTGAGAGATGCAGATATATTACCCTCTTCATCTTATTATAATGTTGGCGTATTTTCCACACATTGTTAATATAGGCGATTAGCAGTCCATTTAAGCGAAGCGAGAGCCTGAATGGTCTAAATGATATTTCGACAAAAATATCATAACCTTCATGTGATTGGGACAAAGTCAATAATATTGGAGGGGCGGATGGAGGTCACTGGGATGTTTGACAAAATTCAGAAATATACGTGGCATTCCATTTATAAAAATTGTCCTGAACTCTCTAGATTCTTTTGGGTGCACTCTGTATATGCGACAATAATTTCTCGTTATTGGCTCTATCATACGACTTGAGCAATCGGACTGTGACGCACTTTTGCCCCACCCTGTATAGAAGACATTCTGTGCCAACAAGGTAGTCACCAATATTATTAACGAACATGACAATGATTAACGGTCCCAACAGGTAAGGAAAAAGCTGATTGAGACCTGTTGAATTTAACACAGTTTGAACGATTTGTTAGATGACATTCCGAATGCAACCAGATTTTCATCATAATGACAAAAATCAGTCTGGTCTGAGACTGACAAATCATTACGGTTAACGAGTAATCTCAATGGGTTGTTTTCAATCTGGGGTCGTATCAGGTTTCATATTTTTTCTCGCAAACGGTGTTTACTTGGTTTTCTATATACCCCTTGAATTACTTGAATAACTTGAAATAGCAATGAGCGGTTCTCTAGTAATTGATGGAAAAATATTCATAGACTATGAAGATATGAACAAAAAACTACTTTCATTTGCCCCAATAAATGTGGTATAGTTTGTTATTGATGTGTACGTTTTTTCCTGTCCACGTGAGTCCCTTTTTTACCATATGTCTAGTTTGTGGTTTTTTACATTGTAGAACAATTTTGGTAAGGCTGATGATGGACCATAGTATCTTGAACATGTCCCTTTAGTACCCACTGTTTACTTAATAAATGTTGTAGAGACATTGTTGAAAGTTTTCTTTGAGAGAAACATGTAAATACTAGAGTCACTGGATGGTATTAGTTTGATAAGAGTTCGGACACAGAAATGACAACGGTTAGGGTTTTTGAATGTTTAGATTTATCAAGTTACACACCTTGCATTGTGACAAGAGCATCATAGTCGTCCCGCGATTTTTCATTCAAAATTGTTTGAATTTGACAATTCATTTTATCAACGTCAGAATTGAAATAAAATTTCATAATTATTATACTTTCAAGATAAAAGCAGCTATGGAAATCACTTGCTGTATAATAAATTGTGCCAATTATGAAACAAATGGATAACATTTATTCGATTTTCCAAATCAAATATCGAGCATTCGCTTATGGAAGGAAGATATAAAAACGGCCTGGGTGGAAAATCAATTTGTAGACGAGCGGAATTTGTGAGGTACTCATTGAAATTCACTTCTTATAACAGCATCTGATTAGAATGAATCTATATTTTAGGCCCATATTCAAACAGAAGATTCCAAAATCTGTTCGAGAGAATCTGCTGTTCCATCAATTTACAAAGCAAACGATTTCAAGAACAAAATTCCATTATTATCATCACACAAAATACAAAACAAAATAATCATGGAAAAAGGGGAAATGATCGCAAAATTACATTATGAAATTGAAAATTTGAAAACGAAACTCAGAAAAGCAAGTAAACTACAACGTGATGTATTATTGAATGGCGTCTTTGGTGCTGACCGCGAATTGAAAATTCAACAGTGAAATGTGAATAGATATTTATGTATCAAGGGAATTATTATAAGGGCCTTAATTACGCTGGAGGTTATCGTTTTGGAGATATTTTCTATATCGATCCATGTTACTTAGCTCCTAGGGCGCTAAGTGAAGTTGCTGAGAACTCAACAGAACCAAGTATTTGGTGGGTCTCGTCAAAATAAATTATTTTTTTCCCATGAAATCTTTATCGAAAAATGATTTGTTCTCTGGATTTCAACACCCTGTATCTCCGAAATGAAGCATTTCCAGACACAAGCTTATATAGACTTTATTTCTTAAAATTGTCTCAGGAATACTTCACTGGAGTACAGTTTCACATACAATAAGGAATTATAGCTATAAGTTTATCCATATGTATACCGGGTGACACAGGGTATCGGGCCACCCCTGTAACTTCTTATTTCGTCATCGGATTTTTCTGAAATTCGGTACAGTTATATAAGCAACTATTTCGGATTTGATCACATTACAATCCAATATGGCGGACTTCCGGTATTTCTGGAAATGCCAGCAACTTCGTTTTTTCAAATGAAACACCCTGTATATTTTTACATATTCAAGTTCAACAGGTCGAAACAAGTGCAAGCTTTATTTCAAATGTCATTTTTTCGAAAAAAATTAAATTAAAATTGTTTTTTCATTTTACCTCGTGGATAAATGAGATGTGGTTAAGACTATTCACAATCAGTCACACATAACAGAAGAACATAATTTTTTCTGAAAAATTATTTTTTGTGTCACTTATCCAGGAATCAATTCAGCCACATCACTTTTTGATAAAAATTATTTTTTTTCAAATGGAACCCCTATGGGCCACCTACCCGTTTCTCTAGAACATACATTGACGAACAAAATGAAATATCATTTTTGTTTTTCGGTGCAGTAACAAATTGTATACATTCAAAAATCAACAACTAGTTTATGAATTTCCCTGCAGTTAGAATAATTTTTCAACTATAGGTAGGCTGTGGAATAAATGACATTTGACATCAACATTGCACTTGTTTTGACCTGTTGAACTTGAATATGTAAAAATATACAGGGTGTTCCATTTGAAAAAACAGAATTGCTGGCATTTCCAGAAAAACCGGAAGTCCGCCATATTGGATTGTAATGTGATCAAATCCGAAATAGTTGCTTATATAACTGTACCGAATTTCAGGAAAATCCGTTGACGAATGCAGAAGTTACAGGGGTGGCCCGATAGCCTGTGTCACCCGGTATATTCTCTGATATTAAAATGTTGTTACATGCATTTTCTTCATTTATATAAATCTTGCTCTGCTAGAAGTGTAGGTATCACTATGAATTGAAGTGGGTGTTTGAACCCTATATCCATTGTCCATCTACGGCTATGATTGATTTGACAAAAAATATAACCTCTAAAATCGTATCTGACAATCAGGCGCTACTAGGGAAATTGAAAAGACAAAGAGCAGAATATATGTCTTATTCTTTTATTCACTTAAACCATTGTATTATAGAAAATAGAAAAGGACAAAAGTTCAGCTGTGTCCGAACTCTTATCAAACTAATACCATACAGTGACTCTAGTAAATACCAGAGGCGTTAGATATTCAACCGGGTCCAAGCAATTGCGCGCATTTTGTGGAAACTATTCCTCTTCTTTTTCTCCTTCTTCATACCCAAGATATATCTGAATAATCTACTCACCACGTCTCAAACTTGTTGAATGCCGTTATCTCCACCATTTTCTTGTTGAAATCCTTTTTGAGAATGTTTTTAAGTTCTTGTGTCACCTTCTGAATTACTGTGTTGATGGTAGATGCATGAGGGTCGTTCTTATCGTCCTCGGGCCTCTTTGGGGGCATCTGATAAGGGATATACTGTGGCGCCTGATTCAAGGGCGATATTTGAGTATATTGTAGTTGGGGAAGATACATGTGATGTCCATAGTGATAAGTTTGCCGCCAGTCCTGTTGACCGTATGGAAATGGTTGAGGAGGAAATGTAGGATACTGAGCACCTGGGTAACCTATGAAAAAAAAAGGGTGTCCGGAATTTCATAGAAAGCTTTCAACAACTGCCATGTGTATCTCTGAGTATACACAATGGCTTGAACCAGGTCCCAACGTGTATATTTCAGTATACATATGCGTTCATCAATGTTTCGCCGTTCGCCGCGTGTATGCTATATGCTATAGTAGTTCATATAGATGCGAATCGCGAAATTGCGAATGCAACTTTGAATGTAGAAAATCGCGATATTCTCAGTCCGTTCATATAGGAACGAATTTCGCAATCACTTTGGGAACATTTAACTTTAATGTTTCTGGCACGTTTCTGGTGGCATGCTAAATTGTTGGTATTTCCGGGTCTTGACGTAGTTTGTGTCAATTTGTGACAACGATGGTTTGTATAAACTACAGATATATTATTACATTAACAAATAAAATCAAGCTGAAATGAATGAAAATATTACGGCGCTCCGGCCCGGCGATCGAAGAGTAAATAATAACAACAAACGTCTTTGAATGCACATGCGCTGACAGTTTTGACAGAAAATTCTCAGCGAATTTCGCGAAAAATTAAAACATGTCCAAGTTTCCCGCGCCCTAAATTTCAAATTTTGCGAATCGTATGAAAATTAAAATATGACTGCTGTCACTTGTTTCGTCACCAAAATCAACCAATAGGAATTAAATTCGCATTCGCAATTCGCGATTCGCATCTATATGAACTAACCTTAACACCATTTACATGCATTTTTTATGGGACATCGTTTGGCGCGGCCTGGGGCGATACCAAAATAATCTAGTAAAAAAGTACTATTTTGATTACACAATAGAATTTTAAAATCGATTTACCTCGAGAATTGTCAACGGAATCGAAACTTAACAAGAGTCGGTAGCTTTTTTAAGTGAAAATGTTGATATTCCTATGTTTCGTGGTCAAACTGCCGAATATTATAAGAACAAAAAAATTGGAAAAATAGTGCCCCTATCCTCTACGATTGTCTATGCCCTGACCAAAATTTCGAAATTTTCAAATTGTGCAATAAAAGTTACGAAAATATTTACAAAAACCTCCATTTCGGGCTCGCCTTCAGATAGCTGTAACCATCTAAGGGGTTATTTCTGGTCCCATATTTATATAAACTTTTTTTAGTATTCTTGTCCCTAGAATCTGCAGTTGAAATCTTTCTATGACTAGACTGCTAATGATAAAATGGTATATTAGTCTTCTTGTGAAATTTGAAAGCAATCCGACGTTATTTGAAATAATTTAGTCCAGTGAAGTTAAACATGAAAATGTGGTCGTGCGTGCAAAAGGTCGGGTCTTTCTGAATTTTTCATATGTTGTTAGGACCTAAATCAATATCAAAAAACCAGATTTGCAATTTCCAAAGTGCTGTGCGAGTGGCGGTGTACCAAAAAAAAAAAATGTTCGGACTTATATGAAATGAAGTTGTAGAAAATTCAATAAGTTTTCATTTGAGACTAAAATTGTATCAGTAGGCCCAGCGTTTCTGTCAAAAACGGCCGATAACCAAAAACAGTCAGAAATGACTTTTGGGAGGAATTTCGAATAAACTGTTCTCACGTCTTTTTATTTATCGAATAGTTTTTTTTATTGTTGAAAAATTGCTTGATGAATAAGGAAGAAGATTATATACCTTTCGGGAATTTACGTCATCATCAAACATTGTTTTATATACCCACACACTAAAACACTTGTACAAACAACATGATACGTATTATAAGGACACATTACATTAACACAAAAAAGAAGACTAATAGAAAACATGTAGGCATTTTGTTCTGGTTGCCAAATCATGTGAAGCCCAGCATTTCTGCACGAGCACCCTTTTTTGCATTCACAGAGGATTTATCGCGATTGGGCGAGGTTTGAGCTCGTTGAAATGACAAACGTCTTATACCTCAGGAAATCCAGTTTCCCTCGCGATGTCACCCCATACAGAGCCACAAAACATTTGAAACCAGCTTCTCTCACGGCTTTTGGAGTGGAGTCTGGCCGAAGGAAGACTTCCACTTGCTCAGCAGGTGGTTCACTCTTGCTCAGGAGTGTGGTGATTTTGGTCTTGCCTTGGCCAAACGGTGCTGAGATAATATCGCACCCTATAGTCTTTTCCCTGGTGATCGCTGGGAGTCCTGGTGGTTGTAGGAGGTCGTAGAGTAGTCAACAACCAGCTTCGCTCTTTATGCCCTTCTGAAGGTAGACGTTTGTCTATGACGACCCGATCGGCTATTGATCGTTTCGAAAGCGCCGTGATGAAGATCTTTCGATCCGCCTCTTCCTCGGCAATAGCCACTTCTCTCTCCTTCTGAGAAGCGTTACAAAGGAGAATTATTAGGCGCCTCTTGATGTTCTCATTGCCATATACATGCCCTTAAGCAATTTGAATTACTGTGGATTCATCGAACGATGATTATTCGTAACTGAAATGAGCTGCGTAGCGCCGGAGTCGCTCGGCTGTTTTGGTAATTTTTTTGTAGCATCTTCATAGTAGCTGCCAAAGTGAATACGGACGTAGGATGTATAATGAGCCAAAAGTGCTCGAACTGTGCTCTTCCGCTGCCACATGACCTTGTGCAAGAGGTAGCCACAATCCAAAACGACGTGAGTGCCGGCATCTATAGGCGTGTGGCTGGAAAAAGTAGTGAAGGCAGAGTACAGAATGGATTTTGTTTCCTTGCGCATACCCTGCTCATCAAACAAATACATCGGAAACGGGACCAGCTCACACTTGAAGTTATTCTGTGAATCCTGTTCAAATTGTTTTGCAATACATACTCGTTGGAATAATGTGAGTGGATCCACAGCTACTTTTCTGTTGTTGTCCGGCAATTTAACGAATGAAGTGATTGATGCTGTTGTGGTAACTTTGATTTTCAGTTTTAATACCACCTTGCCGTATATTTGCCATACAATTTTCATCACTACCTCCGTTCTTACTCTCTAGGCCTTGTAGAAATTAATCTCAGGAACAGCCAGTAAACCACAACTGATAGAAAGCAAACTGCCAATTTTGAGAAATGGAGGGTGTAGAGCAAACCAGTTTGAGTTTTGAGTTTCTCCACATCACTGTTATCTCGGATGATTCAAGAAGGTCTCATGTCTTCATATTGCTCTCGAGTAGGACATGAGATGGAGCAAACACGAAAATACTTTCATTGAGGCGGGAACATTTGTGAGATGCTATTTCCTCGGACGAACGATTAGGACTGGTTCATGCGTTCTGAAATTTCCATCCTTACAAGATTAGCAGATCTTCAAGATAAAAAAATGAATGCCATGAGGTCCTTTATTTGTCTTTTTTTCAATAATACAAAAAAAAAGTTCGATAAATAGAAACCATAAGAAGACGTGAGAATAGTTTATTTGCATTCCCCCCCCCCAAACCCCACTAATGACTGTTTTTGTTTTCCTGCCGTTTTTGAGAGAACCGCTGGGCCTACAGGTATCAGTCTAGTCTCAAATGGAAGCTCATCATTTCAAGATAAATCACAAAATAAATGACCATTTCGAAGAAACTCCACTTCTTGGAAAAAATTGCTTATTTTCAAAGAACTGTAACTTGGGAATCAATTGCTGTTTGAAGTTCCTATTTGTCTCAAATTGTAGCAAATTTAGTGAACTTCGGAAGTATATAGAGTGACTTTATCACTGAGATATTGAGCGAAAACTGAAACAAGTCCGAAAATTTTATGGTTTTTTGGGTATACCGTCGTTCGCACAGCACTTTGGAAAACTGTTTTTTTTTTAATATTGGTCAACAAATCAGAACGACCGGACCTTTTGCAACCACGGATGTACATCTTGATTGAACTATACGTATTAGGTACTGTGACAAATCGAACAGATCGCAAATATATTTGAAGAATTAAAAACATTCTTATGTCAATCATCTAGTATACAAGATTCATTAAAGGGGAATGAAAGATAACATATATTCAAATTATTTTCATATTATCTTCACTGTGCAGAGAAATAAATGAAATGTGAACTAGATAGGACTAATCTTTAGAATTGATTGGTAGGGATAATTTATGAGGGATACAATTATGGCGAATCGCAATCAAAATATCCATTTTCAAAGTCTGCAGAGATGACAGAGCAACGTTTAGTATACAGAACTATGACCTATTAATGTTTGACAGATTGAAACTGAAACATAATAAAGTATCAATAATGTATTTTGGCATGTCATTCAATCATGCAATTATAGAAAAAGAATGCCTCAGATCGATATAATAATGGGTTGACTTTTTGGACGTGGGTATGAAAATATGAAACATCACACCAAACAATTTTAGTGAATTTTATGATACATAATTACAGTTGATTAGGAAATTCTACATTTTACGAGAGTTTTTGAGCACTAAATTGTTAATAACGGTTTATAAAACATTGGTAGAATCACTTATTAGGTATGGTATAATAGTGTGGGGGGGGGACATACAAAACCAACACAAAACCATTACAGGTAATACAAAATTACATCTTGAAAATTACTATCAACAGAAACAGATTGTATCCCACCAGTTTATTATACAATGAGAGTATCTGTGATATGAGTTGTCTTTATATCCATTTGTCATGTTCTTTTTTTCATAAATCACAAAAATTCATAGATCATCAGTATGGCACCAGATCGAACACCAAAAAACTATTAAAAACTTCTCAAAGCAATACAACACTTAACCTGAAATTTATTGACTACTTAGCTCCTAAATTTTATAATATGTTGCCAATAGCCATTAGAAATATAAACAAATTGAACATATTCAAGAAACAATGTAAAACATACATTGTAGCCAATCTTGAAACATTCAAAAATATCTTCTAATACCTCTCAAGCAGTGAAATATTCAATTTATATTAGCTATAATTTTAACAAATATTATAGTCACATAGTTGTTTTATGTTGAGTTAAGTTAAACTATGTTAATGATTGCATTTCATATATTCTCAATATACAATCTTAGGGCACATACAGGTGTTGTAACACCT